TTCTGTAATACAGTTATTTGGATACCGTTTGATCTTTTGAGGTCATGTTTTTAAGTTTTGTTAGATGGGCTCAGATCAGAATTTAGTCCAGGGCTAATTGTTCCCCACTACTGAAGCAACAGCTTTCTGAGTATTCTACCAAATTCCCATGAATTATGATGTTATCCAGCCTGGCTGGTAGAATAGGTACTATTTCTGTCATTGTGGAGCACCAGGCATAGCTACTTCTGAGTTATTTCCCCAATCTTGTGTAATTTCCTAACATGGCATATATTGATTAGTACTCTGCTGAATACTTGAGAGAGACCCTCTGAAGCTCTCCAGAATTCTCTCTCTGTACAACTCTGTCCTCTCTCTGCTTGGTTTCCTCCTCCCCATGCCATGGCCTGGAAATCTTCACAAGGCAATAATCTGGGGCAATCATAGGGCTCACCCCATTCATTTCTCATCTCTCAGGGATCACAGTCCTTCATTGATTGATGTCCAATATCTTGAAAGTTGTTGTTTTTTTACACAAAGAACGTCCACCTGGTACATTTGTTTGCAAACTGTGCCCTCCCCCAACAAGGTATTTTTGTAAGTGTACTATGCTAATTTTATTTTTTTTTACAGCCACATGTAAAAAAAAAAAATTGGCATAGTGGCATTTATGAAAATACCTCACAGGAGGAGGATGTGGTTGGCAAACAGACATAGAAAGTGCATATTATTTGTGTAAAAGTATGGTATTTTGCCTGGTTTGTGTGTGTGTGTGTGTGTGTGTGTGTCACTGTTTCAGGCAGGAGGGTAAATCCAGTGTCTGTTATTTAACCTGGCTGCAAGTGGAAGTTCAGAAAAATAATAAATAGGAAATTCCTATTCCCCAGCAAATATATGTTTTAATTTTGTCTGCATAATGTTGGCCTGCATCATGTTTGAAACAGTTTTAATTAGTTGGAAACACTTAAAAATTGGAGATTTCACATACAGATAGAATATAGATTTCTACCTTCCCTTGAAAAATAGGAAAATTCAGCAATATTGGTCCCATGTTCCCCTTTGGTAAAAATTAGCTGGAGCTGAGGATTAGATAACCCTCTAGACAATTCATATTCTCTACTCTCCCACCATTGTCCCCACCACTACTCCCTATAGCTGCTTATACTCTGAGAATTAGTGTCAATGGCGATTATCATACCTGGGCCTGTATCTCTATCAAAAGTGGGAAAATGACAGATCAAGAAAGAAGCATGTTTCAATAAAAAAAAAAAAAGAATGATTACATATCTTTGTGAAAGTAAAAGATGTTCTTTTGTGTTTAATTTTATTTTGATTTTAAATTTACCTATGATTTATTGTAACTCAAGTGTTGAATTTTCTCTTTTGTTCTTTCAGCTTAACAAATGCTTATCATGTTCTTCCCTTTTGGTTTTCTAATGCCAGATCTTTGCACATTTCATTATAATACTTGCCTTCTCTTCTTGAGCTGCCCATTGAAATTTTCTGCTCAGCTCTTTTACTTCATTTCTTCAATATATTTTAGCTACTCCGTGCTTAAGAACAAGCTTCAAAGTTCTTGTCTTTTTAATAACCTTTCACTTTCTTCATGCTTGAATTCCAGTTTTGAGTTGCAGTACTGAGGGATTCTATGGCAAAAAATTGAATGACACAGGAAGCATCAAAAGAAGATGGAAGGAATATACAGAGTCACTGTACCAAAAAGACTTTGTCAACATTCAGTCACTTCAGGGGGTAGCATATGACCAAAAACTACTGATACTGAAGGAAAAGTTCAAGCTGCCTGAAAAGCATTGAAGAAAAACAAAGCTCCAGGAATGGATGGAATACCGTATAAGATGCTTAAACAGATGCAATGCTCTAAGTGCCTACTTGTCAATGTCAAGAAATTTGGAAGACAGTTACCTGGCCAACCAACTAGAGGAGATCCATATTCGTGCCCATTCCAAAGAAAGGCAATCAAATGGAATGCAGAAATTATTGAACAACATTAATATCACATGCTAGTAAAATTTTACTGAAGATAATTTAAAAACCACTGCAGCTGTACATTGACAGGGAACTGCCAGAAGCTCAAGCCAGATTCAGAAGAGGATGTGGAACGAGGGATATCGTTGCTGATGTGAAATGGATATTAGCCAAAAGCAGAGAATACCAGAAAGATGTTTACCTGTGTTTTATCGACTACATAAAGGCATTTGACTGTATAGATCATATCTAATTTTGGATAACATGAAGAATTGGAATTCCAGGACACTTAACTGTGCTCATATGGAACCTGTAGATGGATCAAGAGGCAGTCATTTGAACAGAACAAGGGAATACTGCATGGTTCAAAACTCAGAAATGGTGTGTGGCAGCGTTGAAAACTTTCACTTCACTTATTCAATATGTATGCTAAACCAATCTGTAAAGCGTACCGTGTGAGGAAGAACATGACATAAGGATTTGGAAGAAAACTCATTAACAACCTGCAATATGCAGATGACACAGCCTTGCTTGCCAAAAATGAAGACGACTTGAAGCACTTACTGATGAAGGTCAAAGACTACAGCCTTCGTTGTGGATTACACCTGAATGTGAAAACAAATATTATTGCAACTGGACCAATAAAAAACATCATGATAATTGGAGAAGAAATTGTCAAGAATTTCATTTTACCTGGATCAGTAATCAACGTCCATGGAAGCAGCAGTCTAGAAATCGAATGACATACTGCCTTGAGCAAATCTGCTGTAAAAGACCTCTTAAGAAAGCAAACTTGTCAGTTCGATGACTTAAGGTGTGCCTCACCCAAGTCATGATCTTTTTTCAGTTGCCTTATATGCGTGCAAAAGCTGGACAGTAAAAAAAGAAGACAGAAGAAGTATTGATGCATTTGAATTGTGGTGTTGGTGAAGAATACTGAATATAGCATAGAATGCCAGAAAAAGGAACAAATTAGTCTTAGAAGAATGTTCCTTAGAAGTGAAGATGGAGAGACTTTGGCTTGTTTACTTTGGGTATGTCATCAGGAACAACCAACCACTAAAAAAGACATCATGTTTGGTAAAGTAGAGGGTCAGTGAAAATGAGGGAGCTCCTTAATGAGATGGATTGGCACAATGGACTCAAACATATCAATGATCATGAAGACGGAACAGGACTGCACAACATTTCCTTCTGTTATACATAAGGTTGCCATGAGTTAGAGCTGACTCGACAGCAACTAACAACAATGATTTACTGCATGACTTTGATTCCACCATTTGATCTCTCTATATAACTTTAAAATGAAGATAACATCTGTTTTTATTTATTCTATAGGGATGGTCCAAGGATTGATTAATACTTTATGTAAGCAAAAATGAGTTCTTTCAATGACAGTATAATCCAAGCCATTGGTACATGAAAGAACAGTTAGGAATTTATTTACTTTAATTGGGAAGCAGCAAGGGCATAGCTAATGAAATATGTAGGGGAAGTATCTTTGACTTGTGACAGAAGGTGGCAGTCTTTTTTAAACTCTTACCTCAGAAAGGCTGACCTTTTTCATAATGTGTTAATTCAGATATAAAATACGTTAATCAACATTGCATTAGATCATTAACAACCTTTCCTCTTGAATTAAGAGACAGGAAGTTTGGGTTTTAGTACCGGCTGAGCCCTGGTGGTGCAGTGGTTAAAGTGCTAACTAAAAGATCAGCAGTTTGAACCCACCAGCCGCTCTGTGGGAGAATGATGTGGCTGTCAGCTTCTGTAAAAACTTGGAAACCCTATGGGGCAGTTTTAATCTGTCCTATAGGGTCACTATGAGTCAGAATCAACTATACAGCAGTGAGTTTGGTTTTGGTTTTGGGCTACCAAGTTTGATTTTTATTCATTCATTCAACAAACATTATTAAGCACTTGTACTCTCTGTTAAGTACTATGTATAGCATTAAGGTATAACATATGGCCAATGCCTTAAAGAGACTCACAAAATAATAGGGGATACAGATGTATAAACAATTATAATAGAGATATGTACAAAGTACTATAGGAACATAGGGAGCAAGTTAATGCCAGTGGAAGTTAAAAAGTCTCTTCAGAGTAGATCATGTTTAAGCCTAGAAGAATACTTAAAAACTCCCCAGAGAAAGGAAGCAGAGCATTCAAAGAGTATGGTGTATCTGATGTTTGCATTTCATAAAGTTTCTGCATTTTATTTCTGGGATTCAGCTTCAGCAAACACTGTAATATGTAAATTCCCAAACTTTTTCAGTTCATAGTGCCTTCATGTCTCAGTGTTTTCATGGCACTCCTAAGCCAAAAGAAATACCTCACAGTTTGGTTTATTAAGCAGGTGGGTTCAAACGACTTAGTAAATATTTATGTCTTGACAACATACTAGCTGTTTGGAAAAATAAAACCATAAAGAAAAAAAACCTTTTATTTCATTCTCATATAATCAAAATTACCTACTAATGGGATGTGTATGCTTGTTGTACAACTACTGAAACTTTGGAATCAGATTGGACACCACCACCCTCACTTCCTGCTCCACATTGACTTTCTTCACACAGTACTTGTTTTTAGCACAGCAACTTCCAGTACAGACAGATCATCAAAGATACGGTGTCATCAAAAGGGATGTAATGTATTGAATGTTGAAATTGAGCTATCAGCTTCAAGATGATTCTGACAGAGGTTGAATATCATTGTATTTTCCTTGAGAATTTGAAATCCCATGGCATACCGGTGGTACCCTGGGATGCCTTGGTGTACAGTTTGGAAACTGAGGCTTTAATGAGTTAATACCCTTGACCAAGATAAAGAAGAGGAAGAGAGTAGTTTAATGTAGTATAATGAGCAAAAGAAAATATGGTTACACTAGCTGGGTAGTGATGATTTAATTTCATTAAGAACTATAGTGTTGTTGAAAGTTAGACACAAGTATGATAATAATTTCTATTTCTAAATTTGGTTTGTTTTTTACTGTTTGATTTATTTAAAATAGATCATTTGTATTTTTTTTTTAACAGATGGATGAATTGCATGTATCTATGGTCCAGTGGATGGTAAATTTGCTGATTATAATGGTACCTGACTGTACCGATGAAGACATTCTCCCAGTGTCTGAGGAGAAAAGTACTGAGACACGTGATATAGGAATCGCTAAGTTAGAGCTAGATGCAATTGCAGTGGCAAGAAAGTTGGCTCAGTACTGCAGCTATCTGAGCAGGTGAAAATATCTGGTTACTTTACTGCTGCCCTTTGAAGATTAAATGTGACATAAATCAGAGAAGAAAACCCTGGTGGCATAGTAGTTAAGAACTATGGCTGCTATCCAGAAGGTTAGCAGTTTGAATCCACCAGGCGCTCCTTGGAAATCCTGTGGGGCAGATCTGCTCTGTCCTATAGGATCACTATGAGTCCGAATCAACTCGACGGCAATGGGAAAGCAGAGAAAAGAAAGGCAGTGAAGTAGCTGCAATAAGAGGTTGCTGAAAAAACCTTAAAATAAATACTAGTCTAATTTTTAAACTAGCTTCGATACTGTACCCATTTGAAATATGAGAATTTGGCATCAGGATTATTTTGGAAATAATGTTAGCATAGGCGGGGTAGGAAGTGACAATGTGTGCAGGGGTAAGAATTAGTAAAAAACAAGGATTTGCTTGCATAAATAATTTACATCTTGCACTTCTACACATACTGGGGGCAGAGAGGGCATTTATGAAGAAGTTCGTGGTTTCTTGTGTAATTCCATGCAAAGTTGAATGTATTTTTTTTGTGTCCTTCACTAAATACCAGTCAAAACGTCTCTTTAAAAAAAAAAAAACAGAAACAAAACCTTATACATGAAAAGCTATAAGATTTTCGCCAAATAAAAATGGGGTCTGAAAAATTGTCATTTATTAACTAGAAAGGGAATTACCACTATAATTACTCCAGACTCAAGAAGTAGCTTTTGCACCTAGTAGAATCTATCCAATTTTTTCCTTCATTTCAAATCAGTGTTACCAGTGGCCAAGAGTGAGAGGAATGGAGGGGAGGAAGAGGGTAAGGGTGAGAAATTGGGAAAGACAAATTGTTCTCCTTGGTGAGTCAGTAGCTGAATTATCATGTTAAACTTCCACTGAGTCTGGATTTTGAACAGGAGAGGAACCAACAATAAATAGATCATACTATGTGTGTGTGTTTTTCCCCTCAGTTGTTGCAGAGGGATGGTAACAGCAATGGCTCTGAGTAAAGCAGCTCACTTACAAAAAAATCCTGCTAAAGACTTTCAGGAGCTGGATAATATGAAGGTAATAACTCTGTCTTCCCCTTAGTTTTGTTTGTTATTTATTTTGTATTGTTATTCACAATGCACTGCACATATTAAAAGTATACAATTTGATAAGTTTTAGAATATGCATGCACCCATGCAGCGATCACTACAATCAAGATAATGCGCATACCCAACCCCCAAAGTTTTCTTGAACCTCTTTGTAATTCCTCCTTCCAGTCTCATTCTGTCCCCAGGCAGTGTCTGATCTACTTTCTAACACCAGAAACTATTTTTCATTTTCTAGAATTTTATATAAATGGCATCATAGAGTATGTACTCTTTTTATCTGACTTCTTTCAATAAGCTTAATTATTTTGACATTCATAGATTTTGTTGCTTGCATCAAAAGTTCATGCTTTTTAATGCTGGGTAGTACTTCATCGTATGGTGTCTTAGGCTGGGTTCTCTAGAGAAGCAAAACCAGTAAAGCATATAAATATATATATAGAGAGATTTATGTCAAGGAAATTGCTCACACAGTTATAGAGACTGTAACATCCCAAGTCCATGGGTCAAGGTGAAGGCTTCTCCTGATTCATGTAGCTGCAGGGGCTGACGAACCCAAGATCGGCAGGTCAGAGAGCAGGGCTCTTGCTCACAGGCTGTGAAGATCAACAAATCCCAAGATCAGCAGGCAAGACAGCAGGTAAGTTGCTAGCTGAAGTCCCAAGAATCAGAGGTCAGACAAACAGGCGCTAGCTGCAGGCTCCAGAGTGAGCAAAATCACACAGCCTTGACAGAATGTCCACTTATACTTGATGCAGGCCACACACCCAAGGAAACTCCCTTTCAACTGATTGACTTACTCACAGCAGATCCCATCATGGAGGTGATCACATTATATCAGATCTCAACATGGAAGTGATCACAACATCATACAACTGCCAAACCACTGAGAATCATGGCCTAGCCAAGTTGACACACAATCTTAACCATCACATATGGATATATACAATTTATCCACTCCTTGTTGATAGGAATTTGATTGTTTCCAGTTTTTGATTATTACATTAAAGCCTCAATGAATATTTATGTACAAGTCTTTGAATGGATATATACTTTCATTACTCTTGGATAAATATCTTGGAATGGAATGACTGAGTCATATGGTACAAGTATGTTTAATTTTTTAAGAAACTGTGGTAGTTTGTCATTGTTGTTTAATTTGCATTTTGTTAATGACCAACAATGTTGAAAATCTTTTCATGTGCTTATCATCTATATATCTTCTTTGGTGAAGTGTCTGTTCATATCTTTTGTCCACTTTTTATTGGTTTTCTTTTTTTCTTATTACTGACTTTTGAGAGTTCTGTATGTATTCTGGATACAAGTCCTTTATCAGGTATGTGATGTACAATTTTTTTTTTAATCTGTGACTTGTTTTTTCTTCTCTATACAGTGTCTTTCAAAGAGCAGTTCTTAATTTTGATTCAATCTATTATCTTTTCCTTTTATGAATTTTGGTGTCATATCTAGGAAATCTCTGCATAACTCAGTGTCAGAAAAATTTTATCCTCTGTTTTCTTCTAAAAGTTTTATGGTTCTAGGTCTATGGTCCATTTTTAAGGTCCTTGAGTGGTGCAAATGGTTTGCTCTCAGCTACTAACTGAAAGGGTGGCGGTTTAAACTCACCTAACAGCACCATTTAAGAAAGGCCTGATAATATGCTTCTGTAAAGATTACAGCCAAGAAACCTCTATGGAGCTCAGTTATACTGTATAAAACATGGGGTCACCATGTCGGAATTGACTTGATGGCAGTGGATACAGGTATGATCCACTTTGAGTTAATTTTTTGTATATGGTACCAGGTATGAGTTGAAGTTCATTTCTTGTCATTTGGCTATCCAATTGTTTTAACACCATTTGTTAGAAAGAGTATCTTTTCTCTACTGAGATGCCTTTGTACCTTTGTTGAAAGTGTATTGACCATATATGTGTAGGTATTATTCTGTATATTCTGTTGTGTTCTGTTGATCTATTTGCCTACATTGTTGGTATTACCAAACTATCTTGGTTACTATAGCTTGATAATAAGTTTTCAAATCAGGTAGTATAAATCATCCAAATTTGTTTTTCTTTTTCAGTATGGGTTAGACTATACTAGGCCATTTGCATTTCCATATAAATTTTAGAATTAGTCATCAGTTTTTCCAAAAAGCCTGCTGGAATTTTGATTGGGATTGTATTTTATCTATAGGTCGATTTGGGAAGAATTGACATCTTAATAATATTGAGTCTTTGGATCTGTGCACATGATATATCTCTTCATGTATTCATTTCTTTATTTCTTTCAGCAAAGTTTTGTAGTTTTCAGTGTACAAGTCTTTTGCCAGATTTATTCTAAGTATTTTATATTTTGATGGTATTGTAATTGGCCACTCCAACTTTCTTTTAATTAACGTTAACATAGCATATCTTTTTTCAACCTTTTATTTTTAACCCGCTTGTATGTTCTTATTTAAGTGTGTTTCTTATAGGCAGCATATACTGTTGTTTTGCTTTTTTATTCAATTTCACAATCTTTGCCTTTTACATTTAATGTGAATATTGATAAGTATGAGTGTTGTGAGTTCTCAATAATCATTAAAAGTATAGAAACAGAATATGATCCAGTAATCCTGCTTCTTGGAATGTATCCTAGAGAAATCAGAGCTGTCACACGAATAGATATATGCACGCCCATATTCATTGCAGCATTGTTCACGATAGCAAAAAGATGGAAACAACCTAGGTGCTCATCAACGGACAAACGGATAGACAAATTATGGTATATTCACACAATGGAATACTATGCAATGATAAAGAGCAATGATGAATCTGTGAAACACCTTATAACATGAAGGAATCTGTAAGGTATTATGCTGAGGGAATTTAGTCAGTCGCAAAAGGACAAATATTGTATAAGACCGCTATTATAAGACCTCAAGAAAGGGTTTAAACACAGTAGAAACATTCTTTGATTATTACGAGGGTGGGCTGGGAGGGAGAGGGGTATTCACTAACTAAAAGTAGACAAGAATTAGGTGAAGGGAAGGACAGCACACACTACAGGGGAAGTCAGCACAACTGAATTAAACCAAAGCTAAGAAGTTTCCTGAATACAACCAAACACTTCGAGGGACAGAGTAACAGGGGCGGGGGTCTGGGGACCATGCTTTCAGGGGACATCTAGGTCAATTGGCATAAAAAAGTTTTTTAAGAAAATGTTCTTCATCCCACTTTGGTGAGTGACGTCTGGGGTCTTAAAAGCTAGCAAGTGGCCATCTAAGATGCATCAATTGGTCCCAACTGACCTGGAGTAAAGGAGAATGAAGAACACCATAGACACAACGAAAGTATTAGCCCAAGAGACAGAAAGGGCCTCATAAACCAGAGACTTCATCAGCCTGAAACCAGAAGAACTAGATGGTGCCCGGCTACCACCAATGACCGCCCTGACAGGGAACACAACAGAGAGTCCCTTACGAAGCAGGAGAAAAGTAGGGTGCAGAACTCAAATTCTAGTAAAAAGACCAGACTTAATGGTTTACTTGAGACTGGAGGGACCCCGGAAGACATGGCCCCCAGACTCTCTGGTAGCCCAAAACTAAAACCATTCCTGAGACCAACTCTTCAGACAGGACTCTTAGACTGGACTATGGGACATAAAATGATACTCGTGAAGAGTGTGCTTCTTAGTTCAAGTAGATACATGAGACTAAATGGGCAGCTCCTGTCCAGAGGCAAGATGAGAAGGCAGAGAGGGTCAGGAGCTGGTTGAATGGACACGGGAAATCCGAGGTGGAAAGGAAGACTGTGCTGTCACAGTACAGGGAGAGAAACTAGGGTCACATAACAATGTATGTATAAATTTTTGTATGAGAAACTAACCTGAGTTGTAAACTTTCACTTAAAGCACAACAGTAAAAAAAAGTATACATAACTGTACTCCCTATGTGCTTTATTATATATATGAATATATATGCATAGTCACATTTATGCACGTACATATGCATACACATACCTGTTGCAAAAGACCTCTTTAAAGTGTTAAAAAGCAAAGCTGCCACTTTGACCCAAGCCGTGGTATTTTCAATTGCCTCATATACACGTTAAACAAACAATTTCTTTTTCTTTTATGAGGATCAGCACACAGCTGGTTCCTATGAGGCAGAGGTTAAAGATATCCCAAATAGCCAACTTTTCCAAGCTGCTTCATCATCTCTAACACCAACTACTCCCTCCCACCTCAGTACTCTCCCTCCTGTCTTCGGGTTCCCTAATTTGTTGCAATGTCTCACAAAACTCACAAGTCTCACAGAATTCACAAACCGTATAAAGGAAATGGCTCACGTGGTTGTGGAGGCTGGCAAGTCTCAAATTCGTGGGTCAGGTGTAGGCTTCTCCCTGGCCCTCAGTCTCTGCCCAAAGGCACTCAGCTTTCTAGCTCTGTGGGCTGGGAATCCCACTGTGCTGCCTCCTGCTGGTCTCTCCTGCTGGTATCTCCTGGCTTGGTGATGGTGGGCTCTTCTCTGCTCTGGAATTGGCTCTCTTTTAAGGCAAAACTTACCAATCCCCTTGGTGGGCCACAATTATTTGTACAGCCCCGCCCAGTCACCTGGGTGGGAGTTACAAGACCATAGAGAGAAAGGCCATTCATCACACTGCACATGTGAAAGCTGGACAGTGAATAAGGAAAACTGAAGAAAAATGGATGCCTTTTAATTATGGTGTTGGTGAAGAGTATTAAATATACCATGGACTGCCAGAAGAACGAGCAAATCTGTCTTGGAAGAAGTACAGCCGGAATGCTCCTTAGAAGCCAGGATGGTGAGACTTCTTCTCACGTACTTTGGACATGTTATCAGGAGGGAACAGCCCCTGGAGAAGGACATTATGCTTGGTAAAGTAGAGGGTCAGCAAAAGAGAGAAAGGCCCTCAACAAGATGGATTAACACAGTGGCTGCAACGATGGACTCAAGCATAGCAAAGGAAGTGAGGATGGCGCAGGACTGGGCAGTATTTCATTCTGTTGCACATAGATAGGGTCGCTATGAGTCAGAACCGACTCGATGGCCGCTAATAACAACAACACGCATATGCCTATCTATATATACACATATATATTCACATATACATACTTACACACAGATATACCTACCTACACACATACATACCCACACATATATTTTTTGTTGTTGTTGCTTTGTTTCAAAATTATGCATGCCATAGCAGTTACCAAAAGGACCTTTTTTTTCCTTGTGTACATCTAACAACAACAACACATCTTAATGACATCATTTGCTTTCATCAGGCTGTCCACACTGCACCCTCATTCAGTGTTACCTTTTCCATCACCAAAAATATCAAGTGTCTACTGTCTAGAGTGAATTCCCCCTACCCTTCCATCCCTGGTAACAGCTAATGCGCATTAGTTTCTATGTATTTACCTATTCATGTCATTTCATAAAAATGAGAACATACAATATTTTTTTTTTTGAGTGACTTAGTTTGCTCAACATAATATCCTCCAGGTTCATCCATGTTCCAGGATGTTTCAGGAACTCATTTTTCTTTATTGCTTAGTAGTATTCCATTGTATGTATGTACCACATTTTACTTATCCATTCATCCTTTGATAGGCACTTTGGTTGTTTCCATCTTTTTGCTATTGTGAATAGTGCTGCAATGAACATCGGTGTGCATATGTCTCTGTCACTTCTATTAGATCTGTAGGGTATATACCTGGGTCACAGGGCGGCTCTACCTCTAGTTTTCTGAGAAACTGCCAAACCATTTTCCACAATGGCTGTACCATTTTGCATTCCCACCAGCAGTGGATGAGGGTTCCAATTTCTCCACATCCCCTCTGACACTTAACTATTTTCTGGTTTTTGTTTTTTATCTTAGCCACCCTAGTGGGAGTGTAATTGTATCTCATTGTGGTTTTGATTTGCATTTCTTTGATAGCTAATGACACTGAGCATCTTTTCATGTGTCTGTTGGCCATTTGAATATCCTCCTTGGTCAAGCATTTGTTCATGTCCTTTGCTCAGTTTTTATTGAGTTATTTGTCTTTTTGTTGTTAAGTTGTAGAAGTTTCCTATGTATTTTAGATATTAGACTTTTATTGGTTATATTGTTCCCAGTTATTTTTTTTTCCCAGTCTGTAGGTCGTCTCTTTATTCTTTTGATAAAGTCTTTTGAAGAACGTAAGTATTTAACTTTCATGAGGTCCCAGTTATCTATTTTGTTTTCTATTGCCTGTGTGTTTGTTGTTGTGTATGATAATCTGTAATTGAAGAAAATTAGGTCTCAAAGCATTGCTTCTATATTTTCTTTCAAGAACTTTATGGTTTTAGATTTAACAATTAGGCCTTTGATCCATTTTGAAGTAGTTTTTGTGTATGGCATGAGGTATGGATCTTGTTCAATTTTTCTGCATGTGGAAATCCAGTTTTTCCAGCACCGTTTGTTGAAGAGACGGTTCTTTCCCCATTAAATGTATTTGACTCCCTTTTCAAAGGCCAGTTGACCGTAGATGTTTGATTTATTTCTGGATTTTCAATTCTATTCCATTGATTTATGTGTCTATCATTAAACCAGCAGCAGGCTGTTTTGATTACTGTAGCTGTGTAATAATGTTTTGAAGTCAGGAAGTATGAAGCTTCCTGCTTTGTTCTTCACAATTGCTTTGGCCATTTGGAATCTCTTGTCTTTCCACATAAAAATGAGGATTAGTTTTTTCATTTCTTTAAAGAATGTTGGAATTTTGATTGGGATTGCATTGTATCTGTAGATCGCTTTGGGATTCAGTACTGTTTCTGATGTACAACAAGACATCATCCTAACCCTCTGAATTCAGAATATGAACTTATCTGTGACATTAACAAAGATGTGAGCAACTTAAAACCAACTAGTTTCTGTCTAATCTACTCCAACACATGATAACCCCATGTGTGTCAGAGTAGAACTGTGCTCCATAGGATTTTCAATGGCCGATTTTTGGAAGTAGATCACCAGACCTTTCTTCTATGGAGCTTTGAGTAGACTCGAACCTCCAACCTTTTGGTTAGCAGCTGAGCATGTTAGTCATTTGCACCACCCAGGGACTCTGTAGTCTTACCAATATAGGCTTCAGTTACCTTGTCTATAACATAAGGTGTTTGGATTTGATTTCAAAGATTTTTTTGGCTCTAACATTTCATAATAATTCCATAATTAAAAATACATGTAATAATGAGAGGAATATAAGGCATACTACTGTGCTTTGTGGTTGATTTCAAGGGCCTAAATTGGGTCATTATTTCATTACATGGTACAGTTTTATGATGGTTAAAGTGACCAGATTTCCTTTCCCAGAGACGATAATGTTTCCTTGTTTCCTCTGCTTTTACTCACTAACAAGAAATAATGTATCTTTTAAACACTGAAACCACATCTTAGCTGCTAGGAAATTTTGGTAAAGAAATATAGTTTTACTGTTCACTTTAGATGGATGAGTCCTGCTGTAGATCTTTCCTGTGTAACAATAGATAAGGGGTGAGCACTTTTCCAAACAGTGTTTCAAATCTTCAATCATTCACTTTGTTGGGGTTGTGTATGTCATATTTTGTAGTGGTTAAGAGCATGGATCGCCTGGATTAGAATCCAAGCACCATGCTTAACTATATAATAAAACCTTGGGCAAGATATTTAACTGTTCTATTCTTAAATATATTAATCTTAAAAGTGAGGAAAATCATAGTACATACCTTATGTTAATAATCAAATGAGGTAGTATATGTAAAATGCTTAGACTAGAGACTGGCATATCATTAAATGCCATGTAAGTGTATGCTATTATTATGCAGTCACAGTTGATACTAGTTGCATAAATTTATTGGGACAGACCATTTAGGCCTTAGTAAACCCAACAAACCTTCTGCATCTGGTTTTATAGTACTTAAGCATTTCTTACTCCATTACAACCCAGATTCCAAATCCTGTCAATAAGAGATGATGTGATTTAGATCTGTGTTCATAGATGGTTACCTCTGCACAAATCTTTGAAGTGAACTGATACAAAGCTAATTGTATGGAGTTATATTTAAAGGAATTGCACTTAGCTGCTCCTCAATGGGAATGAATGAATGAGTCGGTGTAATCTGTTTCTGCTTAGTAATTATCTTTTATCTCTTCACAGAGAGAATGTTATGATTGGATCAAGACATGTGCTCTTCTCCTTTCTGAACTCAAAGGCAGAAAAATAATGTTATTGCAGCCCGAAGAAGTAGAACACCTATTTGGAGAGGAGGTATTTGTCAAGAGTTACATTGTTCATTATTCGCATTCTTTCCTGTATTTCAGTAGGTAAAGGGTTCAGTGACTTTCCAATCATTGTTCTGAATCTCCATTCACTTACTGTATCAGAAGAGGGAAGGGGGAGAATTGGAAGCTCTTCTCCCTCCTAAGGAAGCAAATCATCCACTCATAAACACCTTTCTTTACTTTCTTAGCAGATGAGTTTGCCTCTTACTTCATAAAGGGAAAGAATGGCTTTCAAATGGGAGCTCCCAGCCACTTCCTGAGGCATATCCTCAGACTTATTTGCTTCTGCGCTTACCCTTTCGTCCTCTCTTCTAGTCTCCATCTTCCCATCTAAGGTTATTTCTTCCTTTGCGCACTTAATCCCATCCCTAATGTCCTCTCTCTTTTGTATCTTTAATGTCTTCCTCTTTAATGGTTCTATCTTATCAACCTATAAACAATCTATAAGCACGCTCATCTCTCCCATCTCTTGATCTTGTCTTCTCTACTATGAACTTTCTCATATCTCTCTATCACAATCACTGTTCTTAAAACTAAAATTACTGTAAGATCACCAATGATTCCTTATTCACCAGTCCCATATTTAACCTGACTTCTTTGTAGCATTTGACATTGTTAACCATTCACTTCTTTTTAAATCTCTCCCTACAAGACAATACTTCCCTGGTTTTCCTCCTACTTTTTTCTCTTCACTCTCTTGTTAATCTTCCACCTCTTCCTGCCTCTTAAATGTTGACATTCTGGCCTTGGTTTGCTTTCATCTCTCATTCTTCACCCTACACGTTCTTACTGTGTTAATTCTGTGGTTTTAGCTACCATCTATTTCCTGAGAATCTGAAATCATCAGATATCATGCACTTAATGGCAGTCACAAAAACTTTTTTTTTTAAATTTCAGTCTCTGAGGGAATTCATCTCCAGGAAATTCTGAAGAAGCTACCATTGCTATCAGAGCCATAAACGATACAGGTATCATCTGATGGCATATATGTTGATGCATTGGTCTAGGAGGAAAGTTTTTTTTCCTACATTTGTGGGATTTTTTTTAACACTAAAGAAACACCACCTTTAAAAATTATACACTTATAACAAATGCTTATTTTCCTTTGCTGCCCAGATCTTGGTCAGAGTTATTTTTAATTGACCAGTGAACAAAGCTTCAGTCGTCATCAACATTACAAATCTTAAATTATAGTACAGTTTTAGAAATGTAATGAAGTACCATAGACATGATCTTGGCTGCATATCAGATCTAGAAAAAGATTTTTGAGAACTTATGCAGAATCATAGAGTCTTGAGAACAAAAGGGATTTTAAAGATTATTGAATTCAACCAACCATCTGATGCATGAATCCTAATATAACACCCACACTTGGTTATTATGCCTAAGTTTGAATATCTGAGATGACAGAGAACTAACTACTTTCAGAGATAAACCATACATTTTTGGTACAGACTATTAAAGCATTATTCTATTAAAATGTATCTCCTTCTAGCTTTTTTTCCTCACTGGTAGGAAAGACTGGGTTGATATGAACAAGGCCGATTCGTTTTCCACACGATACTATTGCCAACATTTGAAAAAGCCGTATTCGGCTTAAGTCTATTTTTGGATTTTTTATTATTTTCCATTGATTTCTCTATTCATTGGTCATTTCCCATAATTTTAATTATTGAGGCTTTATGACTCATTTTAATATCTGATAGGACTGGCCTTCCCTATATTGATCTTTTTTCAGGTGTTTCATAGCTATTCTTGCTTATTTATTCTTCTATATAACTTTATAATCTAGCTGTAGAAAATATCTATTTTTTTAAAAACTGGGATAACATAAAATTTATGTACTAACTTAGAATAGACACGTTTATGATGTTGAATTGTCTTATCCAAGAATATGGGAAATGGGATGTCTACTTTTATGTCTTTCAGTAATGTTTTGCAGTAGTTCACTATGTACATTTCTTGTTAGGTTTATGCGTAGGCATTTTATTTTACTTTTTGCTATTTTAAATAGGGTCTTCTTTTCCGTTATATTTTATAACTGGTAACTGTATACATGCTATTGATTTCTGAATTTTAATTTTATATGCTGTGACTGTCTTATTTTAGCAGTTTTCTAATTTATTCTTTTGGGTTCTCCAGATATTTAATAAAATTATCTACAAATAGAGATAGTTTTACCTCTTTCTTACAAATTCTCATGCCTCTAATGGCTTTTTCTTGTCTAATTTCTTTAAATAATGCTTTCAATTCAGTGTTAAGTAGTAGTTGAGATAGCAAACGCACGTATCTTTTTTACTGTAGTAGGAAGGAATGTCTTACTGATTTACCTTTGCAAGGAATATACTTGCATTGGAGTTAATTTATCATGTATTTATCAGTTTATCATTCCTTCAGACATCTCAGACCTTTCACCTGGGATCGCTTTCATTCTGCCTGAACCTTTAGAATTTTGTTTAGTGAGAATCTGCTGGTGACAAACTCAATTTTTGTTTGCCTGAAAATACTTTCATTTCCTCTCATTCTTTTAAATTTTTTTGCTGAGTATACAATTATAGGATGGTGTTATCTTCTCTTAGTATGTTGATGATATTTCCACTGTCTTATGAATTTTATTGTTACCAAACTGACAGTTGGGAATTCATCTGTCAGTTCCTTTGAAGTTAATCCATTTCTTCCCTCTGACTACTTTTAAGATCTGGTTACTTTTAAAATCTACTTTTCTGATCTTTTCAATTTCACTCTAATGCATCTGGTTATGAATTTTCTGTTTAATTTTTGTTGTGATTCACTTGGTTTTCTGAATCTTTGTCTAAGTATATTTCATTAGATCTGGAAAATTCTCAGTCATCATTGTTCAAATATTGCCTCTGCTGTATTCTTTATCTTCTTTCCTTCTGGAATTCTGAATAGATATGTGTTAGACTCTATCACCCATGTTTCTTAACCTTCTTTCATATTTTCCATCCCTTTGCCTCTTTGCATTGCATCCTGGATAATTTCTTCTGGCTTACCTTCCACCTCACTAATTTGCTCTTCAGCTGAGTCCAATCTACTGTTCAACATCTCTGTTGAGTTTTTAAATTCAATTATAGAAGTTCTATTTGGTTATTTTTTACATCTCATTGTTTTTGTCATCTTCTGCTCTTTACTCATATTTACCATCTCTTTTATTTCTTTAAACATGTTAAATATAACTTTTATAATATATCTGATAATTCTAATATATATCTATGTAAGGATGTTAATTATAGCATTATTTATAATAGCAAAAGACTAGAAACAATATAAATGTTGATTAATAGGGGATTTATTAAATAAATTTTGGTACATTCATATAATGGAATTCTGTGCATATGTTTATGTAGTATAGATGTATAGATGTTTATGTAGTGAGATAAAGATAATCCATGATATATTATTGAGAAAAGCAGATTATAGACTGCAGCATATATTATTATCTCACTTATGTTAAAGTATGCATAAAACATTCTGGATGAATATTCAAAAATATTTACAGAATTGTTACCTCTGAGAGTTGAGATTCTTAATTTCTCTGTATTGTTGTTAATATTTTATAGCAATTATATGTTATCAGGAAAAAGTAGTATATGTATTTTGGAAAAATATTCTAATATATTTTGGATATTTTTCTACACCATAAACATATTTCTACAATATAATTTTAAATTGCTATAAACTATTTTGTTTGCGCTTATACCATAATATATTTAAACATTTTCCTATTGTGGGAAATGCTCTTATTTCTAGCTTTTGCTTTTTAAACATGGCTGCAATAAACATCCAAAGGACATTTCCAGTCTTAATATTTTAATAGGCTCCTTTGAGGTATTCAATACTGTTGATTCCTTCTCTCTTGGCTCACCTGGTAGCCTCTCTCACCTTCTAAGGCTACTTTTTGCTTCCTTTGCAGGTTCCTCTTTCTTCCCTGGCCCTTTATGTGACTAGGGTCCGGTCCTAAGGCTTTGTCACTTCATAAATTCTACTTTGGTAATCTAATTTGCTTTGTTGGCTTCAACTAAACACAGATAACTGTAACTGTCAAATATCTATCTTTAGCCCAGGCCCCTCCATCTAAACTCTGGATCCATATATCTGGCTACTTACTGGATATTTCCACTTGGATGTCTCAGTGGTAGTTAAGCTTACACAACCTAATATGAACTTTTTCTCCCCAAACCTGTTTACCCAGCTTTGTATCTTATATCTGTGAATGGCATCACCATCTGTCTAGTGGCCTAAACCATAAAATAGGTGTCATTCAAGATGCTCCTTTTCCGTAACCACCCCACATCCATCCAATCAACCACTAAGAGTTATCTTCTAAATATCTCTTGAATCGCTATCTTCTTCATTTCTGCAACCACTATACAGTCCATTTCCTCCCTGTGTCTTTTTCTCCTTTCCTTCCTCCCTCTCATTGTCTCCTTTCTTCTTTCTTCCTTTTTATTCTATTGTTCCTAGAGTGATTGTTCTAAAATGCAAAACAGATCAATCAGTTTATTGGTACCTCATTGCTTTCATGATAAAATCCAATCTCCTTGGCATGACAGTCTAGCCCTTTTCTCTATTATTGTGCTTCTCTCCATCTGCTCCCAAGTTTGTGTACTACTGAACTAATTTTGTTCTCAAAACCAATCATGCACATACAGCACCCACTACCTAGAAAACCTTTTGTCATCTTCTTCCCCTTACTCATCTTTCAAGAAGAAACTCAGACATTATCTCCTCCAGGAAACCTTGACAAACTAACCCACTTTTTTCACACCTGTACCCTACCAGGTCTAGATTAGGTGCTTTTGCTATGTGACTATATGTATCCATAGCATTTTTTTGTCAGCTAAATTTTAAACATCTTACGGGTAGGGACCACTCTTACTAACCTTTATATGCTTATCACTAGCACAGTGCCAAGTTGCAGAATTAATGCTCTTTGAATATTTTTAAATGAACTATTTCTAATATAGTACTAAAATATTTATATATACGAAGCTATAATTATAATATTGCTTCATCTCACAGTACTTTATAAAAGAATTTGTTGAGCCTGAATTAGACAAATCTTTTAAAGAGGATGAAGAAGAAAGTCCAGAAATAAAGGAAGAAGACAGAGCCAAAGAGGTAAGATTATTTTGTATTATTTTGTCCTTTCTCTTCATCTTTTTAAAGAGTATATAAAAGTACCATGGAAAATAGAAATAGGTCATCTGCGTAGAACTGCCTAGAAATAGGTCATCTGGAGTAAACTCTTTCAACTTCCTTCCTATGCTCAGAGAGATTTAACTAAATCTGCAGGAATACTTACCTAAGGAGCTGTAGTGGCACAGTGGTTAAGCACTTGGCTGCTAATTGAAAAGTTGGCAGTTTGAACCCACCAGTTGCTCCATGGGAGAAAGATGTGACAGTCTGTTTCTGTAAAGATTTACAGCCTTGAACCCCTGAGGCTACGGTCCTAAGACACCCTTCTCAACTGGAACTGAAGCCATTCCCGGAGACCACCTTTCAGCCAAACCATAGACAGGCCCACAAAATAAGCACTAACACCTGAGAGGGACATGCTCCTTAAAACAATCAATTATACAAGATCAAAAGGGCAACATTTGCCCAGAAGCAAAGATGAGAAGGCAGGAAGGGATAGAAAATCAGGATGAAGGAAACAGGGAAACTAGGGCGGAAATGGGGAGAGTGCTGACAGATGGTGGGAAATGAAACCAATGTCATGAAACACTATGCACAAACTATCGAATGGGAAACTAATTTGCTCTGTAAACTTTCACCTAAAGCACAGTAAAAAATAAAAAAAATAAAAAATTACAGCCTTGAGAACCCTGTGGGGAAATTCTACTCTGTCCTGACTATGAATTGGAATTGACTTGAGGGCAACATGTTTGCTTTTGGGTTTTCACTTTATTTTCAGAAGGAATGTCTCTTTTCCTTTCTGAATCCAGCCATTTCCCTTTAAGCCTCATTTAACCCACATTCCCGTAAACTAAATAAAGCTGTCACCTTGATTCCATTTCTTTTTCATCACCAAATTTTTCAAATGATAGTTTAAACTCCATGTCTCCACTTCTTCAGATCCTATTCTGAGCTGCTTTCTCCCCTCCCTCCCACCCCCGTCTCCATATCTTTCCTCTTTTACCTTGTCTCCACCCCTGCTGGGGCATTTGTAATAATAACCCTTCAGGGGCGTTTGTAATAATACTAATAGTAATGAAAATACTGGTGATAACTACCACTAATTGAGAGCCTGCTATGAGCCATATGCTTTGCACATGTTACCCCTTATCTACACAACATACTTTTAAGGTAGATATTATTGTCCCCATTTTATAGATAGGAAAACCTGAAGCTCAGAGAAGTTGGCTAACTTACCCAAAATCTTATAGCTATAAAGGACAGAGCCAACATTCAAACCCAGATAAGTCTGGCACAAGAACACTTGCTAATTCCTATATTTACTACTACTGTCTTTGGCTTCCAGGACTCACGATCACTTTCTAACTCTCTTACAATATCTTAATTTACTTCCCTGGCTTTTCTTTTCTGCATATAATTTAAATGTTGGCATTACCTTATACTCTGTTGTAAGCTCTCTCCTCACTGTACATGCAGGACCAAACTTATTGCCATAGAATTGATTTCGACTCATAGCAACCCTGTAGGACAGAGTAGAACTGCCCCATATGGTTTCCAAGGCTGTATATCTTTATGGAAGCAGGCTGCCACGTCTTTCTCCCACAGAGCGGTTCATGGGTTCCGACCACCAACCTTTTGGTTAGCAGCCAAGCGCTTAACCACTGCACCACTAGGGCTCCTTCACGTGCAGGGCAATAGAAAAGAAATCTTATACAACACTCAAGCTTCCTTTAACTAGCATTTTCTGTATGTTTTATTTCACAATAAAAATGTCCATCTTTTGTTTGTTTCTTTCTTTCTTCCCCCTCCTTTGAGGCTTATCCCATTTGTTACTCCACCTGCCAATCCTCCTTGTCATTATTGTTAATACTAGTGATCATTGACGATCATTTCTTACATTCATTAGAGACCTTGTCATTGTTTTCGTCCCTAACCCGAGTACTAGCACTATCTTAGGTAATGCTGCTGTCCATATGATTGATCTGTCCAGCACTCTAATTCCTTAACTACACCACTCTAGTGATTATATATGTATATATAATATTTTATTGTGTTTTAGGTGAAAGTTTACACAGCAAATTAGGTTCCCATTTAACAATTTCTGTACAGATTGTTCAGTAACATTGGTTACATTTTCCACAGTGTGAACATTCTCATTGTTTCCATTTTGGTTGCTCTGTTTCCATTAATCTAGTTTCCCTGCCTCCCCCCCTTACCTTCTCACCTTTCTTTAGAGTAAATGTTGACTATTTGGTCTTATACGGATGATTTTTTTAAAGGAGCACAGTTCTCATGGGTGATATTGTTTATGAGCCCAACCTGTCATTTAGTGGAAAGGTGACCTCTGGGAATAGTTTCAGTTCAAAGTTTAAAGGGTATCTCAGGGCAGTAGTCTTGGGGGTTCCTCTAGCCTCAATTGGTCTAGTAAGTCTGGACTTTTTAAGAATCTGAGTTTTGTTCTATATTTTTTCTCCTATTCAGTCAGGGTCCATCTATTGTGTGCTTGATTAAAATGGTCAGTAGTGGTAGCTGGGCATCATCTAGTTCTTCTGGTCTCAGGTTAGATGAGGCCGTGGTTCATGTAGCCTCTTAGTCCTGTAGACTGGTTCCTTCTTTGAGACTTTAGTTTCCTTCTTTCTCTTTTGCTCTGGATGAATAGAGACCAATAGTTGTATCATAGATGGCTGCTCACAAGCTTTTAAGACCCTGGACACTACTCACCAAACTAGGATGTAGAACATAAACTTTATGAACTATATTATGCCAATTGACTGAGTTGTCTCATGAGACTATGGTCCTAAGCCTTCAAACCCAGTAAACTAATCCCACGAGGTATTTGGTTATATCTAAAAAGTATCCGTAACTGTGCCCCCATGTGCTTTGTTATATATATATATATGAATAGATATGCAGCACTCACATACATGTGTATACGTATGCCTAAAGATACACCTATGCATGCACACAAATATACACACATATACCTACCCACACACATATTTTTTGATTGTTGTTTCTGCTGTTGCAAAATTATATATGTTATAGCATTTACCAAAAACATCCCTTATTCTTGTGTACTTTTTAGTGACATCATTTACCTTGGTCAAGTTGTGCACGCTTCACCCATGTTCAGTGTTACCTTTCCCATCACTGGTGGCACAGCAGTTAAGCATTCGGCTGCTAACCAAAAGATTAGCAGTTCAAATCAACCAGCCACTCCTTGGAAACCCTATGGGGCAGTTCTGTTCTGTCCTGTAAGATCACTATCAGTCAGAATTGACTTGACAGCAATGGGTTTGTGATTTTCACACCTACTTTACCTCAGCCACATTCCTGACCTTATCATCCAGAAATTGTCCACCTTAAATTTCTCTTATTAAAACCTGCCATCCTTCCAAATTTTTAACCTCTTTCCTCCCATAACACCTTGTTCTTTGATTCCATTCAGTACCTTTATGTTTTTCTTTTCTGCTAATTTTCAAACCTTTTATTTTTCTGTTTCTTCCCTAAGCAGCTGGACCCCATGATCTATCATTTCAGCCTCCTTTTTGCCAATTCCACAACTCCCTAGCCCCATTATTCGCCCCCTACATTTACTCTGCCAAACCCTATCCTTCAGCAGTCTAATCATCCTCCCCCCACCCCGTTTTAGTCTCATCTACTCTGCTGAGAGTTACTAGAGAGTTATATAACCATATATGTTGGTGTCACCAATATTCATGATCTTCAACACCAGCTGAGCCTTAGTTCTGCTCAGTAACCCTTCTTAAGTCCCTCTCCCATTAACCTCATGGGCTAATCGAGATTGTAACAATTCTCCTCAAGTCTCCCACCATGACCTCCTCACTCTCAGCATTGGGTTGTAAATTCTTCTTGGCTCATTCAGGGTCCTAGAGATTGTCAACCCACAGCCTTCTCCAACTTCCTGTTATGCCTGATCCTCTCTGACTCCCAGATTTCACTTCCACAATTAGTCCTGACAAGTCAAGATGGGGAAGGGGGGACACTGCACAGTGGAAAAGGGATGAATTTGAGGAGAACTCATGAGATGCTGCCTCCCGGCTCAGGAATGCACCACTGGGGGATAAATGCTGGGCAGTCTTTGGTCCAGATGTTTGCAGAGAAGGCAGGGTCAAGGAAGATGTTGATGGCTACCCTCACTCTGTACCTTTTAGTTAGCCCAACGCACCCAGGCATGCAGGATCTGTTAACCATTAAAGCAATTTAGAAGCCCTTCCACTCTGTCCAAGACAGTTATCAGGCTCCTCTTTTCTTTGTTTCTAGACCCTGCTCCTATTCTCTTCTAGTACCCTAAGTTCCTCACCTCGAGCTATGTCTTACATTTTCAGCCCTGCTCCCTTTTTTTACTTTAATGCTGCACTTCCTTTATCAGTTTGACACTCTGTACCTATAGCCCAGCTTGTCCTCCAACTCATGGCCCATAGACTTTTTGAGTCCTCTCCCTCTTTTTTTTTTTTTTGACATCTATTTGAAAGACAGTATTTGAAGGATCATGGACCTTGGAGTCAGCCAGACTTGGGTTCAAATCTGAACTTTGCCACATATGACAAATTTCACCCACTCCTCACTTATCAACGTGGTTAGGTTCCAAAGACCAGATCGTTATGCAAAAATTGGCATTATGAGAAAATGGAGGATGACTACATCAGATCACAAAATGGAGGATGACTACATCATTACATAACTGCCAAACCACTGAGAATCATGGCCCAGCCAAGTTGATGGATAACCGTAACCATCACAGCCAGTGTTACTCTTGCCTTGCACCTCAGTGTTCATTACTGCCAGAAGTATGTTGTTAATGCACAAAATAGTCAGATAGTAGACTTTTTACTATTGTTGTCAATGCAAAATGTCAGATAAGGAGATAGTCGATAAGTGAGGAATAGGTGTATTTAAAACCTATGAGCCTTGGTTTCCTCATTTGTCATGCAGGAACAATGATGCCCCGCTTGCAGGATTGTTGTGAGGACTGAGATGAGACTATGAATGCAGAATAGCTGACTCAGTGTTTGGCATATAGAAGGCACAGAATAAATGGAAACTTGGTCACTAAATGCCATAATATCTTTTAAATGTGTAATGTACCCTGTCCTCTCTTTCTCCTGTTATCTTTTTTCAGGCCCTTTACTTCTTTTGCCTGGGTTTTTACTCAGGTCTCCTACTAGGCCTTTCTGCCTAGGATCTCTGCCCTCTCCAGTCCACCTCCCATGCTTCCAGCAGCTTTATCTAATACTTTCCTTCTCATTTTAGAAAGCTCTGTTGGTTCTGTGTGTTCTAACGTGAGGAAAAATTGAAACTGCTTAGCGCGGATAACCAAGTTTTCCTAATTGAGCCCTGCCAGTCACATTTCCCCTGTGCTTTCTCCTGGCTCCAGACATGCTCAGATCTTTCCTCCTCTAGGACTTTGCACATGCTGGATTTTCCCTCTTCTCTGAATGTTCAGGCAGAGTGCAGGGCCCTTCTCTGGGTGGCCATAGCTCTTGGGATACACCTCTGTGGTAACAGTAATCATATTTTGCCATAATTATTTATTTTATTATTTGTCTCTCCTATGGAGCCCTGGTGATGCAGTGGGTAAGAACTTGGATGCTAACCAAAATGTCAGCAGTTCAAATCCACCAGCTGCTCCTTGGAAACATTATGGAGCAGCTCTACTCTGTCCTATAGGGTCGCTGTGAGTCAGAATCAACTCGACAGCAATGGGTTTGGCAGTTCTCTGCTACTGTGCTGTGAGTTCTTGAGATCTGGAACAGATCTCTACTTTTTTCCCCACAGTTACCTCCCTTCATGCCCATTCCCCACCCCTCACCAATTTCTCACACTGTGGCTGCTACATGTAAGTCCTTAAAAATGCTTTGTGAATGATTAAAATGGAAAGTTAAAGTTTCAGTTGTGGCACCAGATGACTTGCTATGCCACTGTATCACACACTAGCTCACTAATAGGTTCTTGGTATTTCTGTACCCCAGAAACCTTCAACATCTATGGAGAGTGAACCACTCATTCGAGTCATTGGAGTAGACGAAAATATTCACACCAAAACTCTATTTGGAAGAGATATATTGACTTCCTGGGTATGTATCTGAAACTCAACTTTGTACTTCAAAACTACTTAATATTATGTAAAGATGATATGGGTTTAATAAAACTTTTAGTTCCTCCAAGAAGAGCAGGAGCTCCTAAGTAATGTATCTTACAGATTTTTTTTTTCTCTAGCATCATCCCTGTAAAAAACTCTCATTTCCCTACGTTAACTTTACAAAAATGTCTCCTTCACTTCTTTAGATCTCATTTTAAAATTAATATTTCAGTCCTTTCCTTAATTTAACAATTCCTTGGTCAATATTTTTAATATATTAATTCAGAAGACTTTATTCAAGGCTGTTATAAGCACCCATTTCCAACCACAAGAATTATTGAGAAATTGGAAACCAACTGAGACCTTTAGACAGTAGCTGTAAAAACTCAACAGGAAAGCAGATTTTTAAAATTTCCACAGGACATTCTGGAATCATGGTAGACTTAAGTCATCTGAAGATTGGTATCTCTCTCTATACAGAATACCTTCACCTTAGGAGTCTGTGAATGGGCCTCATCCTGTTAATCCCCTGAAATTGTATGCAACATTTTGCGCACATGTTCAAACTACGTTTTCTCAGGGGAGGCAGTGTCCAGAGATTTCATCAAGTATCTCAACCCACAAAGTTAAGAAACATTTTATTGTTAGAGGTCTGATCCATTTGAATAGGCAATATTGTGTGTGTAGGGGTAGGGAGCTGTGTGGAGGGTAGTGGTGGATGGCAGCTGGATCGCTAAGCTGGAGGCATGGCTCAAAGTAGAGGCAAATTGCAAGGGATATTTGTCCAGAAAGGTTGTAGGAAATAGGATCCAATCTAGTAGGAAGATCTGGGAGAAACTATTCTGGAGAGTCAGGCAGAAGCTGGTAAAATTGGGATGGGGAGGGTGGATGGACGGAGGAGTTGCTCCACACAAGCACATTCTCCCAAAGTGATGCCTTTTCAACAAGCTTTATTAATATTTCTTTAAGACTATGAGGCAGAGACGTAAGAAGAAGCAGTGTGAAAGGAAGGTCATGAGACAAGTAAAAAAAAAAAAGGGAGACAAAGGGTAGCACCTTTTTATCTGCTAACCTCCCACCAATCCCACCCAAAGCCCTCCTGCCTCAGTCTTGCTCCCCTGAGGTGAGAACCCAGCTATATCATCCAGACTGGGCATCTGCACCAGGCCCTGGAGCCTGGCAGGAAAATAGGAACCTGTAGCCTGGGGCAAAACTGAGGACCTGTTGCATGTCTTTGATGGTGTAGGTTGCTCTCTGCTCCAGGATGCTGATTTCTGTCTGGTACCTTGTAGATAGCCCAGCTGAAAAGGGTGTGGCCCCAAAATTCCATTTCCAGGCTTTTGAAAAGTTGTTGCTGCTGCTGCTGTCAATCACTGAAGACCAAACTGTCTAGGTTCTCATTGACCACAAGGTCTGGGGAGTGGACCAAAATGCCATCCAGATATATAATTACTTTCAAGTTACTGGAGGTAAAAAAGAATCACCTTCATCTGTGAGTGGTGGCTGGAGCACAGCACAGGTAGAAAGTAATCACCAGGTGCTCAAACAGAAGTGGCCTAATTGTGCTAGGCTAGTGGGGACAAGGTTGATGATATCGGAAGATCTGGCATACACAGAATGAACTGCCTTCAACTGGTCTGAGGTCAGGAATATGAATGGTGTGTGGGTGGTTGCCACCTGGCACACATAGAGGATGCTGTAATGCTAGAAGCCCAGTGCCCAGCATTTCAGACCATGGGAATTTCCTACTGAAGGCTTTGAAATGGATCACAAAGCATTAATCTATACTTGCCAGTATCAAAACAGGAATGTTCATCTTGTACATTGTGATTCCAAACCCAAACCCACTGCCATTGAGTCGATTCCAACTCATAGTGACCCTATAGGACAGAGTAGAACTGTCCCATAGGGTTTCCAAGGCTGTAAATCTTTATGGAATCAGACCGCCACATCTTTCTCCCACAGAGCGGCTGATGGGTTCGAACTGCCAATCTTTCAGTTAGTAGATGAGCGCTTTAACCACTGTGACACCAGGGCTCCCTCATTGTAACTTAGTATATATCTATTGAATGAATGAGGACAGAGTCAGAAGGCTCAAACATACACAGTTAACAGTGTATAATCCTGGTTTACTTTGTGTCCCACCTATAGTTATAGTTGTTTTATAAGGCTATAAATCATGTGTGGAATTTTAGTTCTAGAACCTTCTGCTCTGCAAACCTCTCTTTTTGATTCAAAAAATAAGTTATAAACCAAAAACCAATTGCCGTTGAGTCAATTCCGACTCATAGTGACCCTATAGGACAGAGTAGAACTGCCCCATAGGATTTCCAAGGAGTGCCTGGTAGATTCAAACTGCCATAGCCATAGCCCTTAACCACTACACCACTAGGGTTTCCAGATAAACTATAGCATGTGCTATATAGGCATAGCCATGTCACATGCAACTGGATCAGATTGAACAAAGAGCATTTACTGCCTGTCTTAGGCTGGGTTCTCTAGAGAATCAAAACCAGTAACGCACATATATAGAGAGAGATTCATATCAAGGAAACAGCTCACGCGATTGTAGAGGCTGGAACGTCCCAAGTTCATGGATCAGAATAGAGGGTTTTATTGATTCACGTAGCCACAGGGACTGGCAAACCCAAGATCGGCAGGTCAGAGAGCAGGGCTCCCACCACAGGCTGTGAAGATGGACGAATCCCAAGATCGGCAGGCAAGACTACAAGGCTTCTCCTGATTCACGTAGCTGCAGGGCCTGGTGAACCCAAGATAAGCAGGTCGGAGAGCAGGGCTTGCACTCACAGGCTGTGAAGATGGACAAATCCTGAGATTGGCAGATAAGCTGATAGCTCAAGTCCCAAGAACCGTAGGTCAGATGAACAGGAGGCAGCAGCAGGATCCAGAGTGAGCAAAAAGCCCGAATGTCTGCTTATATTCCAATGCCGGCCACACCCCCAAGGAAACTCCCTTTGAACTGATTGGCTACTCGCAGCAGATTCCATCATGGGAGTGGTCACACATACACTGAGAATCATGGCCCAACCAAGTTGACACACAATTTTATTTTTTATTGTTGTGCTTTAAGTGAAAGTTTACAATTCAAGTTAGTCTCTCATACAAAAATTTATACGTACATTGTTTGTTTTGTGACCCTACTTGCTCTCTCTATACTGTGACAGCACACTCTTCCTTTCCACCCCGGATTTCCCATGTGCATTCAACCAGATCCTCTCTGCCTTCTCATCTCGCCTCCGGACGAGAGCTGCTCATTGAATCTCTTGTATCTACTTGAGCTAAGAAGCACACTCTTCACGAGTATCATTTTCTGTCCTGTAGTCCAGTCTAATCTTTGTCTGAAGAGTTGGCCTCGGGAATGGTTTTAGTTTTGGGCTAACAGAGAGCCTGGGGGCCATGTCTTCCAGGTTCCCTCCAGTCTCAATCAAACCATTAAGTTTGGTGTTTTTACTAGAATTTGAGTTCTGTACCCCACTTTTCTCCTGCTCTGTCAGGGACTCCCTGTTGTGTTCCCCGTCAGGGAAGTCATTGGTGGTAGCTGGGCACCATCTAGTTCTTCTGGTCTCAATCTGATGGAGTCTCTGGTTTATAAGCACCTTTCTGTCTCTTGGGCTAATACTTTCATTGTGTCTATGGTGTTCTTCATTCTCCTTTACTCCAGGTGGGTTGGGACCAATTGATGCATCTTAGATGGCCACTTGCTAGCTTTTAAGACCACAGACGCCACTCACCAAAGTGGGATGAAGAACATTTTCTTAAAAAACTTTGTTATGCCAGTTGACCTAGGTGTCCCCTGAAAGCATGGTCCCCAGACCCCCACCCCTGCTACTCTGTCCCTTGATGTGTTTGGTTGTATTCAGAAAATTTCTTAGCTTTGGTTTAGTCCAGTTGTGCTGACTTCCCCTGTAGTGTGTGCTGTCCTTCCCTTCACCTAAGATAGTTCTTGTCTACTTTCTAGTTAGTGAATACCCCGTCCCTCCCTCCCCACCCTCGTAACCATCAAAGAATGTATGTAGTCTTCTATGTTTAAACATTTTCTTGGATTTTTATAATAGTGGTCTTATACAGTATTTGTCCTTTTGCAACTAAGTTCACTCAGCATAATACCTTCCAGATTCCTCCATGTTATGTTTCATGGATTCATCATCGTTCTTTATCATTGTGTAGTATTCAATTGTGTGAATATACTGTAATTTGTTTATCCATTTGTCCATTGATGGGCACCTAAGTTGTTTCCATCTTTTAGCTATCATGAACAATGCTGCAGTGAACATGGGTGTGCAGATATCTATTCGTGTGACGGCTCTTAATTCTCTAGGATATATTCCAGGGAGCGGGATTGCTGGGTGTGTGGTACTTCTATTCCTAGCTTTTAAAGGAAGCACCACAACAATTTCCATAATGGTTGTACCATTTTACATTCCCAACAGTGTATAAGTGTTCCACTCTCCACAACCTCTCCAACATTTATTATTTGGTGTTTTTTGGATTAATGCTAGCCTTGCTGGGATGAGATGGTATCTCATTGTAGTTTTGATTTGCATTTCTCTAATGGCTAATGATTGTTAGCATTTCCTCATGTTGACACAGAATCTTAACCATCACACTGCCGAAACAAATTTCCCAAAACGGACAGCAAAACAGAGAGAGAAAAATAAGTGACCGTTAAAATAAGAAAGAAGAGAGTAAAAGAGCAAGAATAAAAGTGAAAATGTGTAACAACTTCTGTTCTCTGTTTTTCTTTTAGAAAAAGACAGTGTAGTACAAGGGAACATGTGATTGAGGATGAGGAGGCCTAGATAAAGATTTTACTTTAGCCCACTAGATCATTCTATGGTTCTGGCAGTCTGCCAATCCTTAGATGTCCCTTTCCATCTATAATGTGGAGTTTACCTTTTACTTGCCTCCAGTTGGGAAACATGGAAAAATGAGATTTTTTTAAAGCACACACTTCTGGGAAAATGTCATAATATTCATTTTAAAAGTATGCTTGTAATTTCTGTCCTCTAGATTTTTTCACCTTCCTCTTATTTTTTTTTTTTCTCTTTTCAGGAATGTATCTAGTGTGAAAGTAAATGAAAGAAGTTTTTTTTTCTTTACTATATGGCTGAATTTACACCTTTATGTAGTTCCCTAAGGAATGTAGAGTAACGATCTTATTGGATTTTGCATTGTTATATTCTTAGTGAAGTCAATTATTAATAAGATATAATTTCCTTGATCTTTAACTTGCTTTATTAGAGAAACTTGTTTACCTTCCTTTTTATATTTTAAACCTTTTCTTCTTTCTGGTTTCATTTTTTGTCATTATTTTCCCTGCCTCTTCTTTATAACTCTAATCAAAGTTATATCCACCTTTAGCATGAATAATTTGGCCACAAGCAATAATTTGGCCATAGGCAAGCTATATATTCTTTTTTGGTGTTAACAATGTGTTTAATCATCTATTTAGACAAATATGGGTCATAGGAAAATATCCTGAAAGGCTTGACCCAGAATATCCTAAAGAGGTAGAGTATTAATTGCTCGGACTCTCAGTTCATTTATATCACATATTTTCTTTGTCAGAGAGAAGCAGCTGATCAGGGTACACCAGCTCAAAAGAATAAGTATCTGGAAGCAATGACTATAATTGAACATATGCAGGAGAAGTTACTGTGAGTATGAAGCACAGGAATGGTAAGAGGATGAAGATTGCTGGCCAGGAGGCTTGGCTGGGAAATCTAAACTTCCTGGCTTACCTCTGACACTCTGGCTTCCTTCGTCCTTACTGGTGAGATGGGTATCACCAAATATCTGCTAGAGGTAGTGAACTACAGTGCTACAATAGGAATGTCCGTCCTCGTCCACAGTGGAGATGGAGAAGTCACAGTGTGTGTGTGTTGTGGGGAAGTGTCTGGAGTGATCCAATTCAATGTGGTCTAAGAGATGATTTAGGGAAACAAATGGAGCTGGGAGAAAATACTGTGGCTCAAGAAGTAATGTTACATAACCTAAAGACTAGGAAAAGTTAAAGTTGTTGAGGTTGCCAGTAGCATAGGCATAGAGACATATGATATGTATTCTAGTGATTAAGAAGCACATCTCTAACTAGTTTTCTTGATTGTAAAATTTAATTTTAGAGGTACTAGAAAAGAGACACTATTGGATTTGGTTTGTTGGATCATATCAGTTAAAAGAAGCCAAAATCAACCCTAAAAAAGGGTTCTCTAGCTATTGAAGGAGAATTCCAAATACTTAAAAGTCAGATTTCACTTCAAAATGATAAATATGTTGTATTCTTAAATCACAGCACAACTCCAACTCTGAATTGACATTTGAAGTAGCCCCCAGACCCCCCAATTCTTGGCTAATCATTGTTGTTACTGCTTCCCTTATCTGTACCCTTCAGATGTAGTCATCCAGTTCCATTGCCCTTTTTAGAGAATGAGTTTCTAGATCAAAGATACTTTATTATTATTATTTTTTTTTTACCCTTTCTGTTTTGTTGTGTTTCTCTGGACTTTGTCTACATCAGGGAGGTTGAAAGCAGAGCCAGACAGGCAGAAGAGAAGTTTGATGAAGTAAATGAGAAACTTCATTATACCCTTATAAAAAATAAAGAACTGGAGAAGGAACTAGAAGACATATTCATGAAGCCTAAAAACAAGGAACCTGAAGGAGAAGAAGAAGAAAATGAAGGGGACAGAGATGAAGAAGACAAAGAAGAAGACAAAGAAGAAGACGAAGAAGTTAGACGAGTAGCAAGTTCTTCAAAATCTCTAAAGAAAGGTGAGGCTTGCCTTTTTTTTTTTTGTTTGTTTGTTTTATTTAGTTTGTATTTATTAAAGTAAACTTACATGGTCCACAATATTTTAGAAGAACATCAATATCTTTAGTGATGATCTACTAGTTTATACTTTATACTAGTTTATACTTCTTCTCATAAGAATGCACGTTAGAATAAAAACTAACATGGAATAAAATTTTTACTTATAAAACTGGCAAAGATTTTTTTAAATGAAAGAACACAATGATGGCCAAAATTGGCAACATGGTTACTTTTACAGTTAATTCTCGTGAGTGAACAAATAGAACCCTTTTAGAATATAATTTGAAAATATGTATGAAATGCCTTAAAAAACATGCATATACTTTGACCTAATAATTTCACTCTTGAGAATTTAGTCTAAGGAAATGGTCCTAAACACAGAAAAAAAAAAATGTACAAGGTTTTTCAGTGTATCATTGTATCTTTTAGAAAAAAATAGAAACGCCCACCCATTCAATCCTCGAAGAAAGACTAAGTATTAACCCACCTGAATATTATACAACTATTAAAATGCTGTTTATGAGGAGTTTGTAGTGACATTAGAAATTTTTGTTAAAATATGAAGAGCCAGAAGCAGGATATAACACAATTTAAAAAATAATAATCATAATAATTTTGTTGTGTTTTCAGTGAAGGTTTACACAGCAGTTTAGGTTCCCATTCAACAATTTCTGCACAGATTGTTCAGTGACATTGATTATATTCTTCACAATTCGTGAACATTCTCATTATTTCCGTTCTGGTTTTTCTGTTTCCATTAATCTACTTTTCCTGCCCCCTTACATTCTCATCTTTGTTTTAAAGTCATCGTTGACCATTTGGTCTCATATAAGCGATTTTTTAAAGGGGCACAGTATTTACTAGGGATATTCATTATTTTCTGAGCCAATTTGTTATTTAGCTGCAAGGTGACCGCAGGAGTTAGTTCTGGTTTAAGGTTTAAAGAGTATCTCAGGGCAGTAGTCTCGGGGAGTCCTCCAATCTCAACAGGTCCAGTAAGTCTGGATTCTTTAAGAATTTGAGGTTCTGTTCCACATTTTTCTCTCACTTTATCGGGATGTAATGACATAATTTCAAGTTGGAACTTTACCATTGACATATGGGAGCTTGAGAGAAACTGAAACATGAGTTTTAACAAAAGATGCTTTAAAAAAATTTTTTTAAACCATTTTTCTGATCTGCAAGATTTGGTTTTACTTCCCTGCATTTTAAATTACTAATTTACACCGGAAAATCACAAGTATGGAGTTTGCATTCTGCTAGTCAGTATGGTTTAAGGTTTTGCTTTTTTCAGTAAACTTTTTTTTTAATTGTGCTTTAGGTGAAAGTTTACAGTGCAAATCAGTTTCTCATTCAAAAATTTATACAGAAATTGTTTTGTGACATTGGTTGCAGTCCTCGCAATGTGCCAGCACTCTCCCCCTTCCCACCTCAGGTTCCCCATGTCCATTTGTCCAGAGTTCCTGTCCCTTTCTGCCTCTCATATGACACAATTTTTAAAAGTCTAGAAAAAAGACCAGAAAGAAACATGACCAGATATTGACAGACATTATTTCTGGGTGATGGAGATTCATGAGATTTTTATCTTCCTTCTATTTTTTGTATTTGTTGGATTTTCTATGATAAAAATAATCTTTTATTCTACAGGAAAAGGAATTTAACTCTTCATTGTCTTATCTCTAATTAATGTTATAATCTGCCCTCAAGCAGTTCTCAATATCCCCAACATTGGAAGCTATTTTTTTTGTCTTTGCTTTTATCTTCAAACTATGGTCTGTTCCCAGTACAACTCCTAGTTCAAGAAATAGTTCGGGGAAGATATCTCCTTTCTGTTTTCCTCTGTTATCCCTTATCTCTACCTAACCCCCAGCAAAAGTAGTGAAGTTAGCCAGCTACTCGCAGTCCCTTCTCCCCCACCAGGTATAAGGGGTATCAACACTATTTGGAGGAAGTGCCTGAGCTCTACTTCTGTCTGCTCTGAACTGGTGAAAATGTTATTTTTTCTAAGTGCATCAATCCTTTAGTTTTGGGTTTGAATATATATAAGATAGTTTTCATGAATTATTTTATTTCATCCTCTCACATTGAGGATGCAATTTTATTCTGATTATTTGAAAACTAGACCTTTTCCAAATTATAGAAAAATAAATGTGCAAGCCATACAAAAGGCCTGTGTGTTAATGTGGAGAGACTACTTCAATATGGAATGAGAGACTTTAGTTTTGTCCATTACCATAAAGTCTTGGGGATTAGGTTAATCTAGAACTGAAAAGTTTTAATAATTTAAGATAGAAGATAACTATATACAGTTAGTCCTCAACCTATAAACAATAAACTATACAAACAAGTAGTCACCTTTCTCCCTCCCTCTAGACATCCCCATTAGAGTCATTGCCTGGGACTCCAAAGTACACGGCAAGAAGACTTACAAAGCTTAGGGGAGCTGACTCCTAAGCAGGGCAGTCCTCATGTCCTGTAGGAAACCTGAACTTTTTCTCCTGTAAGCTCAGAAGCTTAACTTGGATCCACAGTCAACACCCATGGAAGCAGCAGTCAGGAAATCAAACAACGTATTGCATTGGGCAAATCTGTTGCAAAAGACTTCTTTAAAGTGTTAAAAAGCCAAGATATCACTTTGAGGACTAAGGTGTGCCTGACCCAAGCCATGGTATTTTCAATTGCCCCATATGCAAGTGAAAGCTGGACAATGAATAAGGAAGACCGAAGAAGAGTTGATGCCTTTGAATTATGGTGTTGGTGAAGCATATTGAATATACCATGAACTGCCAGAAGAACGAACAAATCTGTCTTGGAAAAAGTACAGCCAGAATGCTCCTTAGAAGCGAGGATTGTGAGACTTCATCTGATGTACTTTGGATATGTTCTCAAGAGGGCCCAGTCCCTGGAGGAGGACATCATGCTTGGTGAAGTTAGAGGGTCAGTGAAAAAGAGGAAGACCCTCAACAAGATGGATTGACACAGTGACTGCAACAATGGGCTCAAACATAGCTACAATTGTGAGGATGGTGCAGGACAGGGCAGTGTTTTGTTCTGTTGTACATAGGGTCACTATAAGGCGGAACCAACTCGATGGCACCTAACAACAAGATTCATCAAGCTGCTCTCCTGGTATGTGCATCAGAAGTGGCTCCATGAAATACATCCTAGAGAAATAAGAGCCGTCACATGAGTAGATACATGTACACCCATGTTCATTGCAGCACTGTTCACAATAGCAAAAAGATGGAAACAACCTAGGTGCCCATCAACGGACAAATGGATAAACAAATTAGGGTATATCCACACGATGGAATACTATACAACAATGAACAACGATGAAGCCGTGAAACATAACGTGAAGGAAGCTGGAGGTCATTATGTTGAGTGAATTTAGTCAGTCACAGAAGGACAAATATTGTATAAGACCACTATTATAAGAACTCAAGAAAAGGTTTAAACACAGAAGAAAACATTCTTTGATGGTTACGAGCGTGGGGAGGGAGGGTGAAGGTTATTTACTAGCTAGATAGTAGATAAGAATTATCTTAGGTGAAGGGAAGGACAGCACACACTACAGGGGAAGTCAGCACAACTGGACTAAACCAAAGTTAAGAAGTTTCCTGAATGCAGTCAAACACTTTGAGGGACAGAGTAGCAGGGGTAGGGGTCTGGGGACCATGCTTTCAGGGGACATCTAGGTCAACTGGCATAACAAAGCTTATTAAGAAAATGTTCTGCATCCTACTTTGGTGAGTGGCATCTGGGGTCTTAGGCTAGTGAGCAGCCATCTAAGATTCATCGATTGGTCCCAACCACCTGGAATAAAGGAGAATGAAGAACACCAAAAACACAACGAAAGTATTAGCCCAAGAGACAGAAGAGGCCGCCTAAAGCAGAGATTTCATCAGCCTGAGACCAGAAGAACTAGATGGTGCCTGGCTACCACCAGTGACCACCCTGACAGGGAACACAACAGAGACTCCCTGATGGAGCAGGAGAAAGGTGGTGTGCAGAACTCAAATTCTAGTAAAAAGACCAGACTTATTGGTCTGACTGAGACTGGAGGAACCCTGGAAAGCATGGCCCCTGGATTCTGTATCAGCCCAGAACTAAAACAATTTCCGAGGCCAACTCTTCAGATAGGGATTAGACTGGACGATGGGACATAAAGTGATACTCATGAGAAGTGTGCCTCTTAGCTCAAGTAGATACAAGAGACTAAACGGGCAGCTTCTGTCCATAGGTGATGGGAAGGCAGAGAGGGTTAGGAGCTGGTTGAATGGACATGGGAAATCAGGGGTGGAAAGAAGGAGTGTGCTGTCATAGTATAGGGAGAGCAATTAGAGTCACATAACAATGTATGTATAAACTTTTGTATGGGGAAAAAGTAAAAAAAAAAAAAAAAAAGTGGCTCCATGACACTAAGCTTCCCAATTTGAACCCTTTAGACTGGCTAAAGTTAGATGTTCCTTAAGGTTAGCAGGCAGCCCCTTTAAAAAATGCAGATACTCTGGAGCAATCAGATGCTGCAATATTCGTATGAGTTAGTGCAGTGAGATGATTTTCCTCTGAGAGTTGTGCAGTGACAGGATGGAAAGTGATATTATGGTAAAGGAAGGAGGCTTGTGAATGCTGAGCAAAAAGAAGACCTAGGGAGATGCCAGCGTGGGAGACGTATTTATTTTTGTCTTTATGTCCGTATTTTTAATATTTAGCAAGCACCGCATTCAAAGTGGTGAGTGGAGAAAAAAATTGAGGGGAGTTTTCAAAAATGAATAGAGCTTAGTTTCTCATCTCAGTGGTGCCACAGTCCAGTTTGGGAAGGACACATTAAAAGCAGTACAAAAGTGTGGGCAAAGGTGACTGAATGTGGGATGAAGGCGGCAGCAGCCAGTCTAAAGGGTTCAAATTTAAGCTTGGGAAGCTTGGTATCATGGAGCCACTTTTGAGGCACATACCAGGAGAGCAGGCTTGATGGCGGGAGGTAATACAGGAGAGAAGAAGAGAAAGAGGAAGAACATTTCCTCCTCTCTTCTTGTACATATCCCAAGCTTCGTGAAAAAAATTTCCAAATCAGTTAGAATGCTCCCTATCTATTCCTGCGCTCTTCTTCTGTCTCCTGATCCCTCTCGCTGGCAGGAGGTCTCCTGCACCCGTCCCAGGGGTGGGGTCTGTGTAGGATTTGTGCGCAGGAGGCTGGAGGGAGATTTGAAAATTTTTTTCACCAAGCTTGGGATATGTACAAGAAGGAAGGAGGAAATGTTCTTCCACTTTCTCTTCTTCTCTCCTGTATCACAGAGTGCCCTAGCCTAGGACCCCACGACCCACAATTCAGGCAATTAGCCACACTTAAACTTTGGGAAAATGTGTTCCAAATCCTGGTAACCAGTTTAGAGTCAGATTTTTGGTACATAGCCTGTGGATGACTTGGGGGTTACTCAGACAAAACAATTTTTGAAATGCTCTGTAAAGTTAAAAGCCCTCAGTAAATACATAATTACTACAATATTCTAATTGTTTTGTTTTTCCAGAGTTGCAGCGCAAGGAAAGTAATCTCAGCTCTAAATCCAGATCCCGGACTAAATCCAATCACAAAATCAAACCCAAGCATCATCCATAGAGTGCCGTGGCTCACAATGGCTACATCCACTGAACACAACCCCAGATACCTCTGTGCTGCAGAGTTGACCCTGTGGCTTAACTGGAGGGACTCCCTTTGCAAAAGCTACTAAAAAAGCCACGACACACAACCCAAGAGCTTTTTTTTTTTTTTCTTTAAAAGTCACAGTGATGGCTGCAGGGAGTCAGTGCATTAGTTTACTGGCCAGATTAAAAAATCACTTGTGCAAAAGTTTGCTAGCTTCTTCAATTAATTTCCTAGTAGAGATCTATGAAAAGGGTCAGTTTCTGTCAAGAGAATAATGCTTTCTGAAGACTTTGAACTCTGCAGAGAAGAGTGGAAAACAAAAATAATTATTTTTCCAGTTTAGAAGAGAGGATCCTGATGATGCTCTTAGGTTTCTACCGTATTTTCAGCTTTCTCAAAGCATTTTTACAATTTATCTGATCTTTATAATAACCTGATAAAGTAGGTGGGGGACACACTGTTATCCCCATTGCTCAGAAGATAAAACTGAGGCCTGTAATGGTTACAGGCTGAGGTCACAGAGCTGATCAGTATGAGCCCCAGCTCTCTGGACCCATGGCTAGGCTGTTTGCCAACAGCAAAGGGCCACAAGGGCGTTGCCTGAATGGTTTCCTTTATAGAAGCCTGTGTTGGTGAAGATTCACCTAATATTTCTGTTTTTTTGCTTTTACTGCCTCATTTGCTCTGTTCCTGACCCTGGACCCATCCATGCATTAGAAATGGACTAACCTATAAAAATAAGTTACAAATGACAGATGAATGTTCTGGTCAGTCACTCAGGAAGGGCTCCCTCATACCTTACTGTTCCAAGCTCATCTGCATTTGCCCTTGTCTCTCTGGCTCCAAACACCGAAGCCAATATTACTATACCTGCTTTGGCTCCACATATTTGATGTTCCTTTGCGTTTACCTCTTAGAATCTTAGACCTTTACCTCCTCCTTCATCCTCAGAAACCCTCTGACTCCAGTATTTACAGCTCCTAGCTAGGCCTGTCCCTGGGCACCATCTAAGTGTGTGTGTAGAATTCACACTGCCTAGAATCTACCTCAGTCTAATGGATGAAGTCTGGCCAGTTCCACTCTCCACCTCTGGGGGGAAGAATTCCAGACAGTTGGCTGTACTCGGACCCAACTGACAGTCAAAGCTGAAGCTATCGACCTGTGCTTTACAGTTACCACCTGGGGGAACGGGGAGTGGGGGGGGGGAATAGCCAGCCCTACCATCACTCCTTCCCAAAGAGATTCCTAATGATTCTAGCAAATCTGGGGGCTTCTTTTGTGGGAGTGCAAAATAATTTTGATTTCCCACTTCTCAGGAATGAATAGTCATTTCCGTACACATAAGCAACCCCCACCACTGGACATGACAGCCTTGCCCCTCAGATTATGTCAAACACCCTCAGGTGGAAGGGTCAGCCTCTACATGCCAGAGTTATACTTGCTGCCACGACAATTAGAATGAGATCATTTGGCACCATGCACTACATTAGTTGGGATGGTTTTGTTGCAAGCCACGGAAACTCGCTCTTGCAAACGTAAGTGAAAAGATAATTTACTGAAAGGATATGGGGGAGCTCAGAGACTGAAGGGAAGTCTTGAAGAATCAGGCTAGGAACAGACAGGAACAAGGTAATTTTAGAAGATCTCAGAAGCAAGAATTGCTTCACCATCTCACCCAGGTGCTCCAGTAATTTCATCCATCCGTACATTATTCTTCCAAAATTTCAAAGTCCCAAGACTGAGAAAGGCTATTTGGGGTCACACACCACCCATGGATATACCAGGGATGGTGAGAAGTAGACTTAGGGATCTCCCTAGCTTCCTTAAAGGGAAGGAAGGATCTCTTGCTCCATTATTTCACCAAGATGGGATACAATACGGAAAAAGGAAATCCTTCAAAGAAAAGTAGGGTGTTATTAGGAAGGCATAATGAATGTTAAGTGGTTTTTTAAAATGCACTACCAGGAAGGCATCTGTCTAACTGGTCTCTGCAAGTTAGCCTAGGCAGTGCTGCTCTCCCAAATAGCTGATGTGTGGAAAGAGTTTAAGATATTATTGAAACCCTGCCACACCTTTTCACGGTGACCATGAGGTAGCCTCCCAAGCAAAATGAAGGAACTCTTGCTGCACGTCACTGGCACCTGTTCCCTGCCACATGAGGCTGTTGTGCTTTTGCTGCAGGAAGCCACCACTTTGTGCTCAGATGTCAGACAAAGCCATGCTGACCTCTGCCAGAAAGCTGCCGTGGGCCTCCAGTAGAGAGGAAACTGTATAGGCCTCATCTCACACACCGCCAATCTCAGTGGTGACATAGTCCATGTCCCTGTGGAGCTAAGGGTGGTAAGGCCTATATCATAGTGTGCTCAGGGACCTTAGGAAGTTTGGTGAGCAAGCCCCTCATCTACCCAGACCTACTCCATGTGTATGAACAGTGGTCCACACAATTGGTCCTACTGACTTCACCATGGTCCAATCACTTGTCTGGTACTTTCTAGCGCACATGGACTGGATTTTTCTCTTGTTTGTGGCCTTTCCCAGCTGTAACTCAATGACCCAGATTTTACTTGTGAAACCTACACCTTGCATTTCACTTCCAAAGACTGCTAAAAATTTTGCCCGCACGCCTCAAGCCTCCAGAAACTTGTCCTCCTCGGTCCATTTCTAGAATCCCAAGTAAGTGTGCCAACTACTAGCAAGTATTTTCCCACATGAAGCAGAGGAGTTACTCTAAAATTGGGAGTATGACCTCAGTGCTTGCCTTCTGAACCCGAGGCTAAGGCCCTCTGTAGCCATATTAGTGTGAAGCAGGGCCTGGAATTCATCAGGACTTCCATCTCTGCCTCAGAAAAATGAGAACTCATTCTAGCCAGGTCGACCACAGCCTCAAGGCAGTCTCTCATTCAGGATTGCTAAACAAGTCCATCAGTCTCTCTGACCTCAAAGATTAACTCCGCAGAGTGCAGGTTTTCACGAAGTGGGACCTCCTGGCTGGTGCAACTGGTCTATATCTAAGAACATGACCAATGGAAGAGAGCCTTCCAAGGTTTCCTAAACAATCCCAATATTTAGCAGTGCCATTTGGTCGGACAGCGCTCCTTTTGTTCCCAAATGGCTGATGAAAGGGCTCCTACAAGACTTTCTGATTTGCAGTGTCTTTTGTTGGTATGGAGAGCACCCTCTTGGATCTGCAGGGCTTGGGGCCTCCCATGAGCTCCTGATGTGGACAGAAGCATAATTTAGGCTACCTCTAGGCCAGCCAAGAGAAATACTTTTGAAAATCTGAAGATAAGATTAACAGTTCCCATGATCTGTATAGCCAAGGCATACTACCTTTTGGCAGAAAAGGTATCCCCAATCCAACCCTCCATTCCAGATGTCCAACAGATCCTAGGGGCCACAAGGTAATACTAGTAATCCATTTTTCAACTCTGGCCACCCAAGTAGTCAAACCTAGGCAAGAATAAAAGAGAAGGGGTTTGTCTGATTTCTGACTAACTATTGCCCACCAATGAAGTCTCTTCTGTCCTGCTTTTGCTCTACCGTGATCTCAAATATCTGTACATTTTTGAAACAAATGCTTTTAATACCATGGTAGGAGTCTAAAACAGAAGACCCCATTGCAAATTCTCAAGAAAACAGGCTTTAAGATCAACCACCCTGGGAGTAAGAACTACTGGCCATCCGGACTGCCTTTGAATCATGGAGGCAACATGTAGAAGGAGTCAGGCTCCTGATCACTGTTATTTAGAACTAGAGGGGTAAATCTAGAATAATAGTAATACCAAAAACAAACCATTGCTGTCGAGTCAATTCCGACTAATAATCACCCTATAGGACAGAGTCGAACTGCCCCATAGGGTTTCCAAGGAGTGGCTGGTGGATTCAAACTGCCGACCTTTTGGTTAGTAGCCAAACACTTAACCACTGGGCCACCAGGGCCCCTGATTAATAGTAATAGCCAACATATATTGAGCACTTACCTTGTGCAAGTACTGTGCTAAGCACTTCACAAATGTTACCTAGTTTATTCATAACAACCCTGTGAGGTGGGTTCTACTTTTATTCCATTCATACTTAAAGAGGATTAGTAAACATGTCCAAGGTTAGACAGCTAGTGAGTGATGGAGCCTGAATCAAACTCAGTATGTGTAATGGCATAACCCAAGCTCTCAGCTTCGGTGCTATATTGCTTCTCCAAGCTCAGCAAAAGCTGGAAGTTGAGTTGATTACCCCTTTTCAAAGGATTTGAGTTCCACATCCTCTAATTACTACTCAGCTCAACTACTGAGCAATGACACCAAGCCGGAATTCCAGAGGGCTTCAGAACCCTAATATCCCAATAGATCTGCGGTCAATGAACTTTTAGCTGCCAGGGACAGTAAAGCAAGGAGGAGCACACTTACTCAGAGCCATTCAGACATGGCTGCCAAGGATGCAGGATGCAGAAACTCTACCAGAACTGCCTGCTGGGCCTCCTGGCTAGGAAAGTCCAAACTGGAGAGCTCCAGCCTGATACTACTGGTGATCCAGGATGGCCCTTGAAACTCTAAGGAAGGCCTCTGGAGTCTTCTGAGGGCGGTTAGGCCTCCTGCTGGTGATTCTGAGCCCATCAACCTCCAGTACGCCAATCCTTAAGCCACTTGCCTGTAACATAAGTGCAGGTATAGGCAAACCAAAGTGTTACCACATCACTGTCAACTCCCAAATGACCTAGAACACCATTATCATAGAATTTGTCATAGACTTGTTCCACTCTCATTGTCATCTTGGTTGTGGTATACTTGAACACCAAATTGGAACACCTTTTCCCTTTTATCAGCTTAAACCAAACCAAACCTTTTGCCTTCGAGTCAGTTCTGACTCATGGTGACCCCATGTGTTACAGAGTAGAACTCCATAAGGGTTTCTTGGCCGTAATTTTTACAGAAGCAGATCGCCAGGCCTTTCTTCCATGGTGCCACTGGGTGGGTTCAGACCACCAACCTTTAGGTTAGTAGTTGAGCTCAAATCATTTATACCACCCAGGGACCATACTGCCACTCTATTAAAGTATGTTTTCAGAGAAAAACTGTTCAGCAGCACATACCCCAGCTTTGGATAGTACTTTCCAGCTTGTCCTCCATCCATCGTTTCAAGATCATTAACCAGTTGGAATGCAGTACTTAGGTCTCAAGAGAACTTCTGTTGCCAGACATCTGGCAGACAGCACTATCCACTCACCTAACTAGCATCTGAAAAATTTGCCTTGGACTATTCACTACATTGTTTATGCACAATACAGTTTCATAGCACCTTATCCCCATTATTTTCCTCCTGTGAAGCCGTCCCACCTCAACAGCTGGTTAATACCTGAAGATGCCACCGGGCACTCAAGCCAATCTGGAAGCAGTTTAAATCTTGACCAGAGCCGGACACCAGAAGAAACCAACTAGTGAGAGATACTATAGGCACTCCCCAGATATATAAGCAAAATCTGCCTGTGACAAAAAGATGCGTGCTACAAGGAACTTTTAAAACCCATTGATGTTGAGTTGATTCCAACCCATAGCGACCCTATAGGACAGAGTAGAACTGCCCCATAGGTTTTCCAAGGAGCAGCTGGTAGATTTGAACTGCCAACCTTTTGGTTAGCAGCCATATCACTTAACCACTGCGCCACCAGGGCTCCCAAGGAACTATTAGAGGTCATAAAAGCCATTATTATCCAGGCATTCCACTTACAGTTGTTGTGTTCCTGGCTTCTTGTTATGCCTGACCTGATCTCCTTCCTTATAACTTATGCCAATATTTGCCAACCTGAGATCAGGAACCATCATATATGGGGTGAAAAGTGATCAACAATCCTGGTGCTACCTTAATTCCAATAACCAGTACGCTGGGATGAGTATGGACCAACACACTCCACATGCACACTTCCCACTCCAGGAAGGCTGTAATGTGCCCTTTGCTCTTTAGATGGGCTGGATCATCTCTGACTATGCCCTGGCTGGTCCACAAAAAAAGCCATAAGCCATTATAGATCAGACATTCTAGGAAATCACCCAGGAGCCCACACCCTATCCTATCTATTGCTCCCTGTCAGTGCTTGCTTTCTGCTCTCTGGCACCATGCCTATGGCTTTGGCAGACTTGCTTACCTGCCTTTGGCTTACTTGGGTTGACAACCCTGTGGATTCCACAGTATGTATTTTGGCAGTTCTGCATGGTTTAGAGCTTTGCCTACTACTTGGGCTTCAGAATTTCCCATTGCCTCCAGAAGGAACTGCTCAGTCTGTGGCTTTCAGCACTCCCATTCCCCCACAATCAAACGTGGTTCTTGGGAATAGATACTGCAAAGACTTTTAAGAAAATGTGTAAACATTTTTCAGAACTGGATGAAATCACCTCTTGAAACAGAATTGAAAATTATCTCAATACATATAACCTTTTAAGCAGATTCCGTTACATCAGTAAATGAAGTCATGGGTATATGAAAATGTGGGTTTCAAAATTATCTAGTAGTCCTGCACCATCTTGGGAAGATACACTGCTTACCTAAAATCCAAGGACCTAGCAAGGTTGGGCTAAGAAGGGCTCCCGGTCTGGAATGTGTGGTTTTGCCAGCTGTGGATGGAGGTGAGAGCAATGAGAGACAAATGACAGGAAGATGATCCTAAGATTGGCATTATTCTGCAACATACTGCTGGAGATATTTTGTGCTTTTTATTTTTTTAAGAGGGAGGTTGGAAGGGAAGAAGGGAGGGAAGGCAGAAGGGAAGGTGTATCAAGGTGATTGAGAGATAATAGGATAGGCAAAGCATCCTTGGTCTTGGGCCTCTTTCTGTTACATAGTGAGAAAACAAGTGGTCTTCAGATAAAATGCTACAAAAATTTCTAGGTCCATTGTTAGGAGCTCAGAATGCATTTTCTCACTGAAATAATATTAAATAGGGTTTTATGGGCTAACATTCAAAACCAAAAACCCTTCATGGGTGTTTTTATGCAAAATTTTTGCCTTCCCACTGGGGATAACAGGAACACATCTTCAATGTAAATAATATCAAATAACATGAAAAGTAAAGGGGCAGCTTGAAGGGAAATGACCCAGTAGTGAGGCACTTGGGATACTTACCACCATCTCTCTATGACAGTAACATGGAAATTCCCACTGTAATTAGCATTTTTACTAACTTCATTTTAGTTATATTAGTAATGCTTTACATTGTTGATTTTAAAAAAGTTTATATAGTATTTGTTTTATACTTAGATATGCTCTTATTTCCTTGGCTTTTTTTTTTTTTTTTTTTGGTAAATACACGTTTTTTGTTGTATAAGGCAAACTAATGGGAAAAGGAGACCTAAATTTTAAGAATGTATCTATATAAAGGAATATCTGTGCAAAAAAAGAATCCTTCAGATCACGTATAGTTCATATAACGCTACCACCTTTTGAAGGAAAGAGCAAACTGGTAAAATCTATACTGAGAATGCATTACTCTCCACCCTGCAGTTATAGTCATTCTCCTTAAATTTTAAAAAACCTATATCAGGTAAAAAAATTTTTGGCTTTTTATTTTTCTATTTAAAAAAAAGTAGACTCCATATGAAGAATTCTTTTTAAATTCTTTAATTAGGTGTTAAATTTTACTTCCAACCAGAGTACATGTGTTTTCTTCCATTCACTCAGCAACACCGAAGTGTCACTGTGGTGCAGGTATCAGGGTTAATGAAAGTGTGAGGATTATGGTGGGGGGGCATAAAAGGTTTAGTGAGATGTGTGGGGGGAGGGGACTAAGGCTTGCCTTTGAGGAGTTCATAATATATCTGGAGAGAAGCCTGCATCTTAAGTACATGATTACAATAGAGTGTGACAAACACAGGATAGGGGCATGTAGAAAGGACCCTGGGAGCAGCAAAGACCTTGCCAAGGGGGCCAGGGGGCCAACAGGGAAAAGGACAATTGAGCTGCTTCTTCAGAAGTCAAATCTGTTAGTTTAGCCATGAACATTTTTACACACAACTCATACCTGTAAAAATATGCAGACTCAAAATTCTTTCCAAAATAGAATTCTGGCTAAGGATCTTTCCCATAGATACTCCACCTAAACTTATTATATGGCTTTTCTGTCATTACATCATTTCACTCTCTTCTCATGTGTTCCTGCATTGTGACTCCCATACGGTATTCCACATGGTAACCAAAGAAAGGGCAGGAAGTGAGGACAGAGTGCCTTACTCAGTGATGTGGCTTTTATATGAAAGGCCCTTTGACAGTCCTTAGGCCTTCCCTATAACATGGGAGAGTCTTTCTTTTTAGGATTCAGTGGCTCAACAGGTTTTGAAGGATTTGGAAGGGGGATGCTTCCTTGAGTTCTACTGCTGGGAGAACTCAGGCAATTTAGCAGGTCAAATGGCAGCGGTAAAACCACAGTGGAAGGTTTCTCTGTGGACAAAGACTGAAGGGTATGGAGGTATCGAAGCTGAACAGCAGCTGGGGTGCCTGATAGAATCTCAGCTGCCATCCTCAGGGATTCTGAGGCAGCCTTCTCCCCTTCTGCAGCGATCATCTAGAGAACAGATATGAAAAAAAAAAAAAAAAAAGATTTTTCTCCTTTGTTCCATCAAGCTTTTAATCACTATTTAGTGTGACTCAACAAACAAACACTAAGCATCTAGTATGCAGCACTGTTAAGCACAAGAGGTACAAGAAGAACAGACCCAATCTTTTTTCTCAAGGATTTCAATCGAGGGAGAGAGATTATACTATTAGTCATACTTTAAGGCAGATTTTGTTAAGGATCCTGACAAGTATAAATCAAGTGCTATGCATGTTATTAATTTTGTCTGCCATATAGAAAAAGGTCAGCCAGAATTTCAGGCAAAGGCATAGAATTGTGAAAGAGTGTCTACCAGCTTGAGCAAAATGCATGGATAAGCATTTCAGAAGAGAGAGCGTCAAGCTCATCACCCAAATGCCACCTTTAAGTGGGCAATAGGGACTAGGCTCAAAAGTCTAGAAGTAACTCCGCCCAGAGGACCACCTTCCTCTCCTCCCTCCTCCCGTTCCCCTTTCAATGACCCAAAGTTATAGACCCTCCTTATGTGGCTAGGGGTTGTTTCTTCACCTACTCTGTTCTTGGAGAGAAATCTGCCTCCCCTTCATTCCTTTCTTCCCTCTTTGCCACACTCCACCTTACCCATACCTCAAACCTCAGCTGATGTTCACAGCCAGATCTTTCTTACTGGCATGCCTGAATAGAGACTATGGGTAACACATTCTTCTCTTGACCCTGGCCTTGGAGGAGGACGTTGGAGCCCTAATCATGGTTGTCCTTCCAGAGGTTGCTAAGAGCTAGGGATATAGGTCTGGGTGTCATCAGTCTAGAGATGATTACCTAGGGAAAACACCCAAGTGAGAGAAGAAGAACGAAGAGCACAGTATGTCTGTAAGGAGAGAAAGTAAAGAAGACAGAGGTGGTCACTGTTATCCACTGCTTTAAAGAGGGGGTGTAACATGAAAAGATGTCTATGCATTAGTCAATTAGGAAGCTATCAACAAACTTTAAGAGAGCAATTTTAGTAGACTAGTGGGGGCACAAGCCAGAATTTTTTCAGCTGGCTGGCTGAACAGAAGTAAGGAAGCAAAGGGGACGTGTTCCCATGAGCAGGACTTCATATGGATCCTCTGTCTCCTCAAAGAGCCGTGTCGGTGGGAGAACTGAGTGCTCAGTGCTGGCTCACCCGCACTTTAGCCTGTCTTTGAGCTTCTGCTTCCACAGCCAGTGAGTGCTGAAGCCCAGCTGGCAGCCTCACATCCTTACTGAAAAAGGAAGAACACAGGCATATAGTGGTTTTTAGTAGCCAGTGCTTTCATACAGACTTGCAAACCTCTCTGCTGGTGTTTCATGATGAGTAGCAAATTCTGATTTAACAGAGTGTGCCATTCCTAGACCTCTAAGGTAGAAGGTACACAGAGAAGAGCATCTCAAGGGTAGGTGCCTCAAATGCCAATTTGTATTACATAGAGCTACCCAGAGCTGTGGTTCTCTCCTCACAAGCACAACAAATTTTGTGTTGATGGGTTGTGATGATTTTTCCCAGTTAAAGTTAAAGCTAAATACCAACTATTAAATTTAAATAATGACAAAACAGCTCTGAAGAGCTATACTATTAATAATAGCATAACAGGAACTCATCTAAGTTTATAGAAGTGAAGAATTGATTTTGAAAAGGGTAGAAGTGACCAAATAGAAACAATACTTAATGTATTGCATACAGATACAAACTTGTATTTATAGCCTGTATAACCATGAACAACGCATCCATGGAAAAACAGTTTGGCAGTTCCTCAAAAAGTTAAAGTTACCATATGATCCAGCAATCCCACTCCTAGGTATATGCACAAGAAAACTGAAAACATCTGTCCACACAAGAACTTCTACATGAATGTTCATAGCAGCATTATTCATAATAGCCCCAAACTGGAAACAACCCAAATGTACATCAACTGATGAACAGATTAACAAAATGTGGTATATCCATGCAGTCAAATATTATTCAAGCCATAAAAAGGAATGAAGTACTGATACATGCTACAACATGGAGGAACCCTGGAAACATTATGCTATGTGACAGAAGCCAGACACAAAAGGCCACATATTGTGTGATTCCATTTATATGAAATGTCCAGAATAGGCAACTCCAGAGAGACAGAAAATAGATTAGTGGTTGCCAGGGGCTTTGGATAGGGAAGAATGAGGAGTGACTGTTTAATGGGTACAGGGTTTCTTTTTAAGGTGATTAAAAATGTTCTAAAGTTGATTGTAGAGATGGTGGCACAACTAAAAACCACTGAGTTGTATACTTTAAAATGATGAAAATAGTGAATTTTATGTTATGTGAATTTTATCTCAATAAAAAAGCTTTTTTAATGCATTCAGAGAAAATCATGAAAGTAATGTTAACAGTGGTTATATTATGGCTATAAGATATTAGGTAATTTTCTTCTCTTTTTTCCAAATTTTTACTGATGTGGGTATTGTACTCATTCAATAAAAATAATTGTTAAAATAAAAATTATTTTAAATTCAACCAAAATACTTCCCCTTATCACGTTTTTCTTCTTGGTTAATTTCCTACCCACATTTCTGTTCTCTCCACTTTGATTCCCCAAATACAGGTAACTGAATCCAAGGCAACCTGCAGAAAAAAGAGTTCAGACGTCAGTGAGCACCTCCAGGAGGGAGTAATATATCCCTGTGCACTGATGGCCATTGTTATATTCTAAGAAAACATACTTCTGTTGAAAGGACATTACTCCCAGGTTTTGTTATGTTTAACTTCACAGTGCCTTGCAAAGAGTTGGTACTCAAAGATATCCATGTCCTAATCCCTGGAACCTGTGAATGTTACCTTAAATGGTCAAAGTAACTTGGCAGATGTGATTGAATTAATGGATCTTGAGATGCGGAGATTATTGTGGATATTCCAGGTGGGCCCGGAATGTAATCACAAGTGTCCTTATAAGACAGAGTCAAAGGGAGATTTGACTACAGAAGAGAAGAAGGCAATGTGATGACAGAAGCAGAGATAGAAGTGATGAGCTTTGAAGATGGAAGAAGGGGGCACAAGCCAAGGAATACAGGCAGCCACTAGAAGCTGAAAAAGGCAAGGAAGTGGATTCTCTTCTCTGAAGAAATCAGCCCTGCTGACACTTTGACTTGAGCCCGAAGAAACTGATTTTGGACTTCTGATCTCCAAAATTATCAGAGACTAATTTGTGTTGTTTTCAGCCACCAAGTGTGTGATAATTTGTGAGAACAGCAATGAGAAGGTAATACAGGTAATATGGATGGTGTATTTGTTAAGTCTCTTTTAAATGCACTTATTAGAGAACCAGAGTCTCTAGCCTCTCCTACAAATGGCAACGGGAGGGCAGTTTTTCATTTATAGGGTCCTTTCACTTCCTTATTGTTAGGTAGCATCAGATTTTCTGTTCTTCCAGTCCTTCCCACCCTTCATGATTGAATTTGGAAACAGGAGGGGAAGAAAATGAACTGTGGGTTCTGAGCTTCCTTTTTAACTTATTTTCTGACCATTTCTTAGTGGCTAGATAAATAGTAAGCTTAGTGCACTGAGAACCCTGAGAAAGGACTGACTAATCTGGGGGTTGGTGAGAGGACGGAATGTTCATAAAGATGTCACAGAGGAGGTAGCATCTTAAAGAACCCGTAAGATTTGCCGGTGGAGAAAAGGGAAGTATTCCATACAGAGGAAACAGCGTAAGGAGAGGCACAGAAGCAAAGAAGTGCCGAATGCTGGAGAAACGCTAAGTAGTCTGGAGTAGAAGATTCATTGGCAGTGAGGGTGAGTGGCAAGAGGTGAGGCTAGGACAGTTGAGCATTTATTCTTTATCCACAAAACATTATGTGCTTAGTGTGAGAAGCCCTGGGCCAGGTGCTGAGGACAAGTGATAAATAAAATATGACACCTGCTATTGCAGGGTTCATAATCTGGGAAGACAAATGTATAAATACCTAAATTATAATTCATTGTCACAAGGGAAAGCTTGCATGTCCTGCTCAGGAGTCTAGGCCTTATCCTTTCATGGGAAGGGACGAACAAGGGGGAGGATGGGGGCAGTGTGGAGTACACATAAGAGATATTCCAGAGCAGCAACTCCCTCTTCTAACTTCTTTTCTTTTCCAGCTTATGTTTTTTGTTGTTGTTTTTTTTCCTGATTTCGTCTCTTTTCCACTAGGATGCTAATCCCAGGTTTACCAGTAACAAGTTGGGGGAAGTCTCAAATATTTGGATACTTCATTTTCTCAGTTTGGGAACTGTTCAGGCTCCATGAGGCACAATTATTCTCAATGCCTTTGATTTCTTAGAGTCCCTCATTTGGGATCCTCTTTTCAGTTAGACATGACTCATAACCTCCTCACTCAACTCTGGACCAGGGTCTCCCCATAGCTTCAATGACAGGTTACATCCCTGGTGGTAATACCATTTGACTGGCCAGTTGTCCAGAACCCTGCTTTGTTCTCATCTCTCTTCTAATACCTTTTACGACCTTGTCTGGATAAGGAGCAGACTCTTACCCTGGCCATGGGTGCAGTGCTGAGCTTGCTGCCTGTGGGCTAGTGAGGCTGCTTGTGAGGCAGTTCTTACTTGTTTCCTCCGCTAATTCCAGATCAATTGAACCTAGACAATTGATTCGGTCACTAATCATGAAAGGGTTGTGACATCTTACCTCTTTTTATCTGAACATGTTATTTGAAACTAATCATTCTTTAACTTTTCACACACTATCCTTCCCGAAAGAAAGCTCCCACAAACCATGTCTTACTGTCTTTGTACACCACCAACCTCTCCTGTTCAGCCCCACCACCCCTGTCGACTCCCACTCCCAACACTCTGGGCTATGTGTGTGCTTACGATGAATCTAAAATCCCTGGAGTAGGCTTCAGAACAAACACTGTGGCAGTGAGTGACTGACCAGGGCCAGACTGGTGACTATGATTGACTCAGGGTCACTTTGACAACCACCCAGATTTGGTTGGGCACTTATTAGTACATAGGTAGTTTGTAAAATGTTTAGAGATACTGTTAACCACTAGCAACATAAGTTTTATTTATTATTAATTAATGCTACAGTGCTTTTCTCTCCCGATGATCTATGGAGTTCACCACACTGCTTTATGTTGTACCCCCATGTTCTCTGTTATTAGCTCCTATCAGAGCCCCTTTAACACTGCTGTTTGCTGACAAGTCTATCTCCCCTTACCTAGCTATAAGCTTCCCCTTAAAGGAAGACACCTTTAACAGTGAATGCCTGGCAGATGGAAGATTCAATAAATGGCCAGTGAACAAATGAATAAAAGAAAAGGAGGTATTTTGACATATTCTACTTCAAATCTAAGTACCTTTATATCTTGGGCAATGCTTTTTCTCTCTAGAAGAATTTCAGTGAGGGATCGATGTGCTAGGAGACGTTTCATGGTGGTCTGCACAAGGAATTGGACAACTTTGGACACATGAGCAAGACTGCTTAGCAGGAGAGAGGCGTTTTCCATTCGGTAGTAGCAAATGGCATCTATCTCCATTATAAACATGTCTTTGGTCACAACCTAGGCAGAAAAAAAGTTTAGATGACAGGCCTGGTTCTTGGGCTCCTTTCCCATGTGAGGATGTTGTTGTCCTTGTTGTTAGGTACTATCGAGTCTGTTCCAACTCATAGCGACCCTATGTACAACAGAACGAAACGTTGCCTGGTCATGAGGGCATGTGAAGATAGAGGAGCTAAACATATTCAAAGGGAATTTTCTCACAGTAAGATTATATAGCAAGCAAAGAAAAAAGAAAGAGCAATTGGCCCACCCTTTATTCAAAGTACACATTTTTTTAAAGCATGGAGCTTTTATTAACTATACTAAAGAACTTAAAATTTAAAGGAATCCTGTTGCAGATCCTTTTATAAAAGAAAAATCAGGAAAAAACTTGTTGTATGAAAAAATTCAGTTGACTCTATACCAGGTCTTTTTTTCCCTCCTTTTATTGTGCTTTAGATGAAGGTTGACAGGGCAAATTAGTTTCTCATTTAACAATTAATACACATATTGTTTTGTGACATTGGTTGCCAACCCCACGACGTGTCAACACTCTCCCCCTCTCAAACTTGGGGTCCCCATTGCCAGCTTTCCTGCCCCTTCCTGCCTTCTAATTCTTACCCCTGGGCTGGTGTGCCCATTTAGTCTTGTTTTGATTTATAGGCCTGTCTAACTTTTGGCTCCTTAGAAGCAAGGATGGCAAGACTATGACTCACATACTTTGGAAATGTTATCATGGGGGATCGGTCCCTGGAGAAGGATATCACGCTTGGTAAAGTAGAGGGTCAGTGAAAAAGAGGAAGACCCTCAACAAGATAGACTGACGCAGAAGCTGCAACAATGGGCTCAAGCATAACAACAATTGTGAGGATGGCAAAGGACCAGGCAGTGTTTCATTCTGTTGTACATAGGGTCACTATGAATTGGAAACAACACGATAGCACCTAATAACAACAACAATCTTTGGCTGAAGGGTGAGCCTCAGGAGTGACTTCAGTACTGGGTTAAAAGGGTGTCCAGAGGCCATACTCTTGGGGTTTCTCCAGTCTCTGTCAGGCCAGTAAGTCTTGTCTTTTTTTGTGAGTTAGAATTTTGTTCTACATTTTTCTCCAGCTCTGTCTGGGACCCTCTATTGTGATCACTGTCAGAACAGTCGGTGGTAGTAGCTGGGTACCATCTAGTTGTGCTGGACTCAGTCGCGTGGAAGCTGTAGTAGTTGTGGTCTATTAATCCTTTGGACTAATCTTTCCCTTGTATCTTTGGTTTTCTTCATTCTCCCTTGCTCTAGATGGGGTGGGACCAGTGGACTATCTTAGATGGCTGCTCACAAGCTTTTAAGACACCAGACGCTACTCACCAAAGTAGGAGGTAGAACATTTTCTTTATAAACTATGTTATGCCAGTTGAGCTAGATATCCCCTGAGACCATGAAACCCAGCTCTCAGCCCAGTAATTTAGTCCCTCAGGGAGTATGGATGTATCCATGAAGCTTCCATGACCTTGCCTTGTATACCAGGTCTTTTTTAAACTGATGCCAACAACAACAATAAAAATCTGCTAAAAGAGAAGCATATTCTGGGAAACAATCACTCTAACTTACTGCTCACTGGAGCATACACTAGAGAGCTGTTTAGCAACACACATAGAAAGCCCTAAAAAGATTCATGCTCTCAATATTTCCATTTTTAAACATTTATCAAAAGAAAATATTTTAAGGATTTACAAAGATTTAGTTACAAGGATGTTATTCACAGTTATTGTTTATTATAATTAGAAACTAGAAACAATCTTAACAATAGGGAATTAAGTAAATTATCATACATCCACATGATGAAATGCTATGTGGCCATTTAAAATAATGGAGTAGAAGCATAGCTAATATATGAAAAGATGATCACAATAGGTTGTTCAGTAAAAAAGGCATGTTACAAAATAGTATGTATGGTATGATATGTATACACCCATTTGTAAAAATAACCATGTACACAGAAAAATCCAAAAGGAAACACTCCAAAATATCAACAGCTGTTTTTGGGTAGTATGATTAAGGGTAAGTTTTATTTCTTCTTTTTAATTTTATATTCTAAAATAAGCCTATAATTTTATATAGTTTCTATTTACATTTCTATTAACCAAAAGAAAGAATGTGAAAGAACCTCTCAATAAAAATGGGAGACAACTTAGGAAAGGCTCATAAATCTAATCACTGATAGAAAAATCTCCAAATGTTATCTATACTTTTCGTATCTACTTTTGAGCATAAATAGTTATTTTGCCCTGGGCCAGAGCTGTTGGCTAGGCTTCAAAAATCAACAGGTATTAGGAAATGTAGAGAAAGAAAAATCCACCATTTGGCTTACCTCATGAAAGGGTATCTCCAAGGTTTGGAGACGAAGGTCAACCTTGTGGTATGTATCCAGGCAGGGCAGAAAGAAGAAAAGGCCTAGACGAGGGGATGGGGGGCAATGACAGGTGAATGTTTATCATGGAGACTTTCTGGAGTTGACATTTTCAGCAACAAGTTGATAATTACATTGTTTTTCTTAGCCTCAAACTACACACAGACCATTGGCAATCCCACCTCCACTCCCAGAGTGTGTTTGTTGTAGCCAAGGTTACCATATACAGGCAGTCCCTGGATTGCAAATGAGTTCCGTCCTAAGTCTGTCTTTAAGTCGAATTTGTATGTAACTCAGAACACTTAGGTACAGTTCATATCTAACGTAAGTCAAATGTTTTTCTTAGTATATAGTATATAGTGTACCTTTCTATGCATAAAAAACATTAAAGAAACACTTCCAAATATACAAAAACATCTGTGATGGTTAAGGTTGTATGTCAGCTTGGCTAGGCCATGATTCTTAGTGGCTTGGCAGTTAAGATGCAGTTTGGCAGTTATGTAATGATGTAATCACCTCCATGATGAGATATGATATAATCTAATCCTCTCCATGATGAGATCTGCTATGAGCAGCCAATCAGTTGAAAGGGAGTTTCCTTGGGGGTATGGCCTGCTTCTGATATAAATGGATTTTCTGGCAAAGCCCACTGGCTTTTGCTTGCTCTGGATCCTGCATCTGCCTCATCATCATCTGTTCTCTAATTCTTGGTACTTCAGCCAGCAGCCTGCTGTCTTACCTGCTGATCTTGGATTTGTCAGCCCCTGCAGCTACGTAGGTCAGGAGAAGCCTCCAGCCTGACACCTGACCCATGGACTTATGACTTTCCAGCCTGTACAACCGCATGAGCCATTTCCTTGATATAAATCTCTCTCTGGTTCTATGTATATATATGTGTATATATATATACACACACACACATACACATTGTTGTTAGATGTCATCGAGTCAGTTCCGACTTGTAGCGATCCTATGTATAACAGAATGAAACACTGCCTGGTCCTGCGTCATCCTCACAATTGTTGTTATGCTTGAGGCCGTTGTTGCAGCCACTGTGTCAATCCATCTCTGAGGGTCTTCCTCTTTTTCGCTGACCCTCTACTTTATGCTTCACTGGTTTTGCTTCTCTACAGAACCCAGCCTAAGACAACATCTTCAACATAATAATTCAGTAATAATAATAATGTTTTGATGCATGTTGCAAAGTATCACCTGTTTGTTATTATGAACCATTGTATATACCTCGAATTTTTAATCTAATAGGCTTTACGGGGGTTGGTTCGTAACTATGGGTTGTACATAAGTCAGATGTTCATAACTCAGGGACTGCCTGTAATTTGTTGTTCAATCTGGGACACTTTTGAGAGTTACAGCTTACTCTGGGACAACAGGTGTAAACAGGATTATCCCCAGCAAACTGGGGTCATCTTAGGCACACAGCTGACTCCTCCAGATCTCAAGTTACATATCTTGTCTCCTTCACTAGATCTAAGCTCCCTAGGTAGAGTGTCTTATGCACTATTGTTAGCTTCAGTACCTGATTTAGTGCCTTTTAGGCACTCTGTAATATTGTTGAATCACTACTGTATTCAGGTAACAAACTTTAGAGTCAGCAAACACCATGGCATATTTTTTAAAACTATGAGACCCAAAGATAATCAAATGGCAATATCATAATACCAACATTCTGACTGGCTAGTTAGTCTTCACCCACCCATCATAATGTACAGGGTCAATGTGCAAAAAATGTTTGTAGATTGATTTATTGAGATTTTCTGAGAGCCCACTGAACTCTGTGGGCTTCTGGGAAGAACCAAAGCTTCGTTGGAACCACACCACCTCACAGAGCCCAGGCTCTCTCTGAGGAACAGCCCAGCTACTAGCCCTTCTCGGCACCAATCCAGAAGGCTGCTGAAAACCAGGCCAGAGCCAGACAGTCCCTGTCCTATTGGGTCTGGTTCAACTTCTGTGTGGACCCATCTGTTGGTTTTGAATCCTCAAACTCTGATTTATATCTCCTGCTCTGGCTTCCATTCTCTACCTGTTTCTATAGGTTTGACTTGGAACTCAGATTTAGGCACATTTGGAATTGGGTCTTTCTCGTGCCTTCCTGCCTGGCTTGGATTTCCAAACTTCAACTACCTACTAGACTTTTCAGACTAGCCGTACCTCTGTCTGAAGCTCATAATCAGCTTGGACTTCTGAACACCAACTCCTGCAGATTTTAAGGTCACAGAGACCAGAGACCATGTCTCATTCGTCCATCTTCACATCCCTGGTAGTTAGCACAGTGTTTGAGACACTTAAATTTCATTAAGTGAATCCCAGTTTGCTACCTGGATGCTGAACTCTGCCCATCACCCATAGTTTGGCCTGTACCCTGGATTCTGAACTAGCTCATCTTTGTCTGAGAATCCACAGGAGTCTGACCATATACAATTTCTCAAACTAGTCCCTGGCCTACTTGCAACTCCAACCAGCCTGGCCCCAGCATGTGACCTCTCCACACCCACCCTCTGTCTTGGCCACCTGTGACCTGGCAGTAATACTCTCTGAAGAATTTGCTAATAACCTATGTTATAAGAAAAGATTCAAAAGTGCAGATCTCATGTGGTATATACATACAATGGAATATTATGCAGCTATAAATAGCAATGAAGTCCTGATACATACCACAACATGGATGAAGCTTAAAAACATTATGCTGAGTGAAATAAGTCAGTCACAAAAGGACAAATACTGTATGATCTCACTTACGTGAGCAAATATGTAGAAACCAAAGATTATTAATGATTACCACTGGTGGAATGGAGAAGGAAAGGGGAGTTTTTGTTTGGGGGGCATTGAGTTTATATTAATGGTGGTGGGCTATTTTGGAAAAGGATAGCAATAATGGTAGCACAACATGAAAAGTGTAATCAATGTCACTGAATTATAAATGTGGAGTTGTTGTTTTGGCAAATGTTTTGGTGTATATATTTTCACTACAATTAAAAAAAAGAAAAGAAAAAAGCAGATCTCATGAATCAAGTTAGTTCATGTAATCTGAGATCCATATTACAAATACATGCATGGAATAATGAAACTGGTAAGTCTATGGGGATAAAAAAGTTGTTTCTTACCAGGGCCTTTGGCTCTTCCAGGTAGCAGATGTCCTAGTCGGAATATAATCACTCTCTCATACTCCTGTACAACCTAAAGGGAAATGTAAGACTTTCAAATCACTCTCAGAATGAAATAAAGTCTTCAAAAGGCCTTGCCATGAGAATGATCCTAGGCATCAGAAATCTTTTGCTTTGAGAACCAAGAAAAAATTTCTGTTACTACTTAAGGTTCTAAAGCTACACTTAGAGAGTGACATTAGTGAAAATGATAGAGTAGGGAGAACCAAGGGTCCATCCCTCCATAGAAATACCAAAAATAAATAAATAAAAACTGTCAGAGTGAACTTTGTCAGAACTCTGAAAAATAGTCAAAGCTTCACAACAACGAAGAGAGCACTAAATCAATAAAAAGAAGATTTAAACATGGTAGGAGAGCTTTGTGGTATTTTTACTTAGCCTTGTGCCAGCACCCTCCCTTGCATGGCGTGGTCTTGAATATGGCAGCCTGCAATCCCAGGGTGAGTACCCAGTTCCAGAGAGAGCAGAGCAGACTCTGTTCCCAAGGAATTGTGTTTGTCTGTTTTGACCTGTGTGGAGGTTCTCTGGAGGACTGACTCAAGGTGCTTGCCTTTGTTTCACCGAGCTCGAAATTCTCTCAGGGCACAAATGTGGCTAAGTAGAGGGTGTTCCTTGAAAATATTGAAAGGAAAATGAACAAGCTGCTGCCACCTGTGGCAATACATTACAGTTGGGGAGAACAAGAAATACACCAAAATCTGAGAGCAAAAGCTGGGGAAAGAATTAGAGACTGCAATGCCCCACTTTCATTAATAGATAGCAACTATGCAGAGTATCAACAAGATACAAAAGACTTGAAAAACACTATAAGCCAACTAGACTTAACATTTACACAAAACTCCATGAACAACAGCAGAATACAAATTCTTCTCAAACATATGTGAAACATCCTCCAGACAGACCATATGCTAAGTCAAACCTCAGTAAAGTTAAAAGGATGGAAATCATACAAAGTATGTCCTCTGACCACAGTGAAATGAAATTAGAAATGACAGAGGAAAATTTGGGAAATGAATAAATATGTGGAAATTAAACAACACACTCTAAAGTAACCAGTGAGTCAAAGAAGAAATAATAAGGGAAATGAGAAAAAAACTTTAAGGTGAATTAAAATAGAAACACAAAATATCAAAAGTTATGAGATACAACTAAAGTGGTGCTTAGAGGAAAATTTATAGCTGTAAATACCTACAAGGGAAAAGAAGAATGATCTCAAATCAATAACTTAAACTTTCACTTTAAGACACTGGATAAAAAAGAGCACACTAAACTTAAATTGAACAGAAGGAAGGAAATAGTAAAGATTAGAGTTCAAATAAATGAAATCGAGAATAGAAAATCAAAAAGAACTAAAAGTTAGTTCTTTGAAAACATCAACAAAATTGAAAAATGTTCAGGCAGATTGACCAAAAGAAGAGAGAAAACTCAAATTATCAAAATCAGGAATGAAAGAAGTGACATCACTACTGACCTTACAGAAATAGAATAAATTATAAGAGAATACTATGAACAACAATATGTCAAAAAATTAGATAACTTAGATGAAATGGATGAACTTCTAGAAAGGTACAAATTACCAAAACTGACTCAAGAAGAAAAAGAAAAACTAAAAATATCTATAACAAGTAAAAGATTGAATTAGTAATTTTAAAACTTTCTACAAAGAAAAGGACCAGATGACTTCACTGGTCAATTCTACCAAATATTTAAAGAAGAAATAATACCAATTCTTCCAAAAAATAAAAGAGGAAAGATTTCTCAACTCAGTTTATAAGGCCAATACTACTCTGATGCCAAAACCAGACAAAGACATTATAAGAAAAGAAAAACTAAAGACCAATATCTCTTATGGATTCAGACTCATATATCCTAAACAAAATACTAGCAAACTTAATCCAGTAACAAAAAAAAAAAAAAAAAAAGGATTATGACCAAGAAGGATTTACTCCAGGAATACAAGGTTGGCTTAACATCCAAAAAATCAATTGACATAATACACCATTATCAATAAAATAAAGGTAAAAAAAGTCACAATATCATGTCAATATATGCAGAAAAGGCATTTGACAAAATCCAGCAGCCTTTCATAATAAAAACACTCACCAATGTAGGACTAGAAAGGAACATCCTCAACCTAATAAAGGGCATGTACTAAAAATTCACATAATTAATGCTGAATGACTGAATGCTTTCCCCTAAAGATCAGGAACAAGGCAAGGAAGGATGTCTGCTCTCACCACTCCTATTCATCATTGTGCTGGAAGTTCTAGTCAGGGCAATGAGGCCAGAAGAATAAATAAAAAGCAACCAGACTGGAAAGCAACAAAGAAAACTATATTTGCAGATGGAATGATCATGTACATACAAAAAACTAAGGAATCCACTTAGAAACTATTTGAACTAAAAAACAAGTTCAGCAAGGTTGCAGGGTACAAGATTAGTATAAAAAGTCTATTGTATTTAAAAAAAAAAAACTTAAAAAAATCTATTGTATTTCTATACACTAGTAATGAACAATACAAAAGTGAAATTAAGAAAACAATTCTGTTTACAATAGCATCAAAAAGAATAAAACATTTGTTAAAAAAATTTAAAAAAAGAAGAGTAAAATTTATACTCTGAAAACTACAACTCACTGAAAGAAATTAAAGACCAATATAAATGGAAATATATCCCATGTTCATTGTCAAGATGGCAAAAAAACAAAACAAAACCTGTTGCCGTCGAGTCAACTCCAACTCATAGTGACCCTAATAAGACAGGGTAGAACTGCCCCATAGGGTTTCCAAGGAGCAGCTGGTGGATTCAAACTGCCGACCTTTTTGGTTAGCAGCCGAGCTCTTAACCACTGCACCACCAGGGTTCGATTAAGGCAGTACACTCCAAATTGATCTACACATTCAATAGAATCCCTATCAAAATCCCAGCTGACTTCTTTCCAGAAACGGACAAGCTAATTCTAAAATTCATCTGGCAATTCAAGGGACCCAGAGTAGCCAAAACAATCTTGAAAAATATGAACAAAGTAGAAGCACTCCAACTTATCCATTTCCAAACTTACTACAAAGCTACAGCAATCAAGACTATGTCGTGCTGGTATAAGGACAGGCATATGGATCGATGGAACAGAATTGAAAATCCAGAAATAAATCCTATATTTATGGTTGATTGATTTTCAACAAGGGTGCAAAGATAATTCAATGGGCAAAGGATAATTTTCAACAAATGGTGCAAAAGCAATAGAATATCCACATGCAAAAGAATCAAATTAGATCCCTTTCTCATACTATACATATAAATCATTAATAGACCTAAATGTTAGAGCTAAAACTATAAAGCTCTTAGAAGGAAATACAGCAGTAAATTCCGTGATGTTGCATTAGGCAAAACCTTCTCAGATACAACACCAAAAAACAAGCGACAAAAGGAAAAATAGATAAACGGGACTTCATCAAAACTAAGAACTTTTGTGTTTCAGTAAACACCATCAAGAAAGTAAAAAGGCAACCCACAGAATCAGAGAAAATATTTGAAAATCATAAGTCTCATAAGGGATTGGTATCCAGAATATATAAAAAGCTTTATATCAATATTAAAAAGATAAGTAATCCAATTAAAAAATGGTCAAAGGATCTTAATAGAAATTTCTCCAAAGAAGATATACAAATGGTCAATAGGCACCTAAAAAGATGTTCAACACCATTAGCAAATCAAAACCACAATGAGATACCATTTCCCACTCACTAGGAAGGAGGCCTGGTGGTACAGTGGTTAAGGGCTCGGCTGTTAACCAAAATGTTAGCAGTTGGAATCCACCAGCCACTCCTTGGAAACCCTATGGGGCAGTTCTATTCTGTCCTGTAGGGTCGCTATGAGTCGGAATTGACTCGAAGGCAACAGGTTTGGTTTTTTGGGAGGATGGCTATGCTGAAAAACATAGCTAATAAGAAGTGTTGGTGAAGATGAAAAGAAATTGGAGCTCTCATACACTTCTGGTGGAAATGAAAAATGGAGCAGCCCCTTTGGAAAACATTCTGGCATTTCCTCAAAAGGTTACACATAGAGTTACCATATGATTCAAAAATTTTACTCCTAGGTATATAACTAAGAAAAATGAAAACATATGTCTACCCAAAAACTTGTACATGAATGTTCATAACAGCATTATTCCTAACAGCCAAAAACCAGACACAACTCAAGTGTCCATCAACAGATGAATGAATAAACAAAATGAATAAATACTATATAATATCATTCAGTCATAAAAAGTAATGAGGTACTGATACATGCCCTGACATAGATGAACCTTGAAAACATTACGCTAAGTGAAAAGAGCTAGTCATAAAAGGCCACATATTGTGTGATTCCATTTATATGAAATATCCAGAATAGGCAAATCCACAGAGACAGAAAGGAGATTAGTGGTTGCCAGGGGTTAAAGGAAGGGGGAGATGAGGAGTGAATGCTAGTGGGCAAAAGATTTCTTTTTGAGGTGATGAAAATGTTCTAAATTTATTGTAGAAATGGTTGCACAACTCTGTGAATATACTAAAAATCACTGAATGAATTATATCTCAATAAAGCTACTATTAACACACACATACACATGAAGAAAAAGAAGAGCCTGCCGTGAAGAGCAGAGTCAGCAATAGCCCCAGCTGTATCCATCATAGTGTTTCATTCAAAGACATGTTCTTCCCAGGAGCTCCAGCCAGTGACTGAGAAAGGCAGGAGGACTAGGGCCCTGGCCGTTGCTGACTATCCTGGGACTCCTCTATTAGGGAACTTTGCTCTGGAGTTCCCTTTTGCACAGGCTGAGACTTTCACTTTCTCCAAGCTGCACCAGTCTGAGGCTCTTTCTATCCAATCCTTCTTTCTCTTTCTCATTTCACAGGTGTCAAACCTGCATCAGTCTGAAGGCTTTCCCTGTCTACTCTGCTCCCTCTCTCAATCTTTCACAGACAACACCTCCCAATAAATTCCTGGCTCTTCTAATTCCGTCTTGGCTTGTGTCTCCCAAACTGACACATATCTTCATTCACTTCAGGAACAGGGATGTGTAACCACCTGGGCTAAAGATAACTGTCATTCATGGTCTATAGAAGCTGCCTCAGAAGTTTCCTGGAAAATGTCAGGAGTGGACATCATGATCCATGCTGGGCCAATCTTTGTATTAGAGGGTGCAGATGAACTAAATGTAACCCTTGCCCTCAAGGGGCTCTCACTCTGATGGAAGAGAGAGTCTGTGAACAAATATTATATATGTACTAAACACCAGAGCAAATGTAAAAGCCAGGTGACACAGAAGCACAGGGAAGGGAACGGCAGTCATGGGGGAGTCAACAAAAGTTTCATAGGCCAATGCATTTGAGCATGGTCTTGAAGGGGCAAGAGCTCTCCTGGAAAGCGGGTGGGGTGGTGTGGGCATTCCATGCAGAGCAGACAGCATACACGAAAACACAGAGGGGAGAGTGGGCATGGTGTGGTCAATGAGATGCATCAGGAAATGACTTCCTGAGTCCTCAAGGAATCTCACCTTTATGCAGAACCAGACAGAAAAAGGGAAGGTCACGATGATGAAGAGCAGGGATGTGATGACAAGAAGCCACTCACAGGCCCCTAAACCAGAGGACTTGGTACCTTTAAAGAAAAAAAAGAAAGCAAAAGAATAATTATATTAGAACTTTACAATATCCAATGACTACCCCTTGTTAGTCCAGCAAGTACTGGGGTCAGAGCAGCCTGGAGACTTTGCTGGAAATATTAGAAAGAATGGGATAACAGAGCAGTAAGAGTTTAGGGCCTCAGAGTTGTCTGTGGGCCTATGGAAGGTGGAACACGTTCATGGAAAGCTAGCAGGATACACTGGAACAAGCACAGAATCTAGGGTACAAGATCTGGGTTCCAGTTCTGGCTCTATCATTTACTGTCCAGGTGACCTTAATCAAGGCACATAACCTATTCAAACTTCTGTTTCGTCATCTATACAATGAGGATGATGATCACTATCTCACAGGGCTGGGATAAGGAAGACATGACATACGTATATACTGAAAAAGTGCTGAGCTGTGCTTTACGTGTCAGGCTTTGTTATTTGGAGTGATTTGGACCAGCTGTGTCCAGAAACTCATCTTCCCTGAAATAACTTTCTCATTCACTATCTGCCTCAATGTCTGGAATTACTGCATTAGAACCCTTTTTTGGGTTAAGGTGTTGATCTCCAGAGAGTCTTTACCTATCTGATAAGCCCATTAGTGTCTGTAAAAAAGTGATGCTGAGCATCCAGGTTGCTTGGGTGATAAATGAAGCTGTAGCAGGGAAAGTCAACCTCAAGAACACAAGCTCCCTGGGGGCTTGTATTGTTTGCATTGTGTCCCCAGGGCCTAGAATAGTGCCTGACACATAGTACATGCTCAATAAATATTTGTTTAATGGAGGAAGGAAGAAGGGACTGGATGATGAAAAATGATTTCAATGTAATAGTTATGGAAATCTGAAGAATTTTAATCTCCAGCTACTAGAAAACTGGCCAAAGGGATACTATTTGACAGTTTAAAAATCTCACGGAGGACTAGAAGTTAACTAAAGGTTAGGAAATGTTGAAAAGCCTATTTTTAAGAGACAGAAAGGAAGAGGATAACAAATTGGTAGGCTTAAAATTTAACTTTCATGAAAATAACTGAAAAGGTCATCACCAAACTGATGTGCAGATCACTTGAAGAGGGCAATCCACAGGTAAAGTGTTCTAAAATAATCACGCTCTGGTGTAGGGCCAGGCTGCACCAGCACAAAATGCCGTAGCATGACAGTTCTCAACGGGTGTTCCATGGAACACTAATCGCACAGGATGCTCCACAAAGGAAGAGTTCCCAGGGCAAATGAGTTTGAGAAATACTGTGTATCATATCCCACTCCAGGAGTTCCCCAATGTACATCAGCATATTGAAGTTATGAGAATTACTGCAATAAAGAATCATTCTTAACTTTGTTTAACCTAGTGTTTCCCAAACGTTTGACCATGCAATATTTTCTCCACGGAACCCACTGTTTATTTCTCATAAAGACAAATAACCTACTTAAGGAAATGCTGTTCTAGCAACATCATGTTAGTTTTTATAATATTTTTCCTTAAAGGCAAATGACTAACACTGTCATTGCCATTTTTAATTAGTTTATAAATACATTTCAGTTGCCAGCGTAGCCATGGCAAATAAAAAGAAAGAAATGAACATGCAGACAAAATTCCATTCTGTAAGAAAGGCCTCAAATTTCTTCACACAGTGGTTAGACATGTGAATAGAAAACTAATTTTTATACCTAAACCTAACCTGGAGTTTTACCCACAAAACATTATCTTCTTAGACTAAGATACTCAAATATCATATTTGTTTCATTTAAATGAATAGTGAAATATTAAACGTTAAGGCAGGAAGAGACTTTAGGTATGATATACAATTACATAGGTATTCTCAAATAATCATGCTCTGGTAGACTCAAGCTGCACCCAACATCTGGCTAAGGTGAAGCTTTTTGTCTCTCCCCAAGGGCCTTAATTATCTATCTCTTAAGTAGTAGCTATTAAGTAGCCTGGCTATGGGAGTGAGGTGCTAAGAGAGAAAGAAGAGGGGATGTGTTGCTGTGTCTTGTTCCTCTTCCTTCTGGGAGCCACAGAACCTCCTCAACAAGGGCTCTGCAGAGGCCAGCCACTTGATCTTTAGTGGGACTTCCCCACAGCTTAGGGTCTCCTTGAGTACTTCGTAGTTAAAGAGACTGAGGCCCACAAAGATGAAGCTACTTGCCCAAGGGCATAGCTAGTTAGTGGCAGTGCTTGCGATGTGGCCAGCAATCAGGGATGGCACCAGAGAAGGGAACCATGTGGGCTTGTCAGTCAGATGGTCTTGCTCTAGAATTATATCTTCTCCACTTCCTCTGCTTTAGGTCTTGGGCAAGTTAATTTCTCAGAGTATTTTCCTCATCTGAGATATGGAGATGATAAAATCTACCTCAGTGATTGGTGTGGAATTAAATAACTCAGTAAAGCTCCCAGTGTGTGCCTGGTACCTAGTAGGTGCTCCATAAATAGGAGCTCCCTTCTTTGACTCCTCAGCTGATAAGGTCTGACACACAGCACTAGAAGCCCTTTAACCTCAGCATTACTGTAGCATTACTGACTCAGTGGCAATGGGTTTGTTTTGTTTTGTTTTGAGCCCAATAACCATTTAATCACTAGAAGTTTCTGACTGATGAAAAGGCAACTCATTGGCTGCTAACCAAAATGCTGGGGGTTTGAGTCCACCCAGAGGTGCCTCAGAAGAAAAGCCTGTCAGTCTTTCAAAAAATCAGCCATACACAGGATTGCCATGATTCGGAATGGACTCCACAACACCTGGTTATTTTAACTACACACCAGCTGCAGGAATCTTTCTCAAATCGTAGCTTTCAATGATCCAGCATATACTGCATTGCTGATAACCAGAAGATGTTAAGTAAAATTTAATAGCCAGCAGAAAGCAATACAACACACTATTCCTTATATACTTCCCTTTTAACATCCCCTGTCCTACTACTAGAAATGCTGGTGGTGTAGTGGTTAAGAGTTTGGCTGCTAACCAAACGGTTGGCAGTTCTAATCCACCAGACGCTCCTTGGAAACCCTATGGGGCAGTTCTACTCTGTCCTATGGGGTCAGTATGAGTTGCAATCGACTCCAGGGCAACGTGTTTGTTTTGTTTTTGTTTTTTTGTTTGTATCCTACTACTTAAGGTGAAATAATTTTTCTTCCCTCCATTATAAAAAGGTCTAAGGACTGGAGGCAGGAAGAGTTGCTTCACTTACAGAAGCAAAAAAGATACCTTTCCTTGTGATCCCCTCCTTTGGTTTAACACTTTTTTTTTTTAGCTCACAAGGATTCTGCTATAATTGATCATGTTCTTCGCTCCAGGTCCTGAGCCAAGTGCTTATTTCATTTTGTCCTCACAACTAGCTTCTGAGGTACTTACTGTTATTATCCCCGTTTCATAGATGGTTAAGGTCCTTGCCTGTGACCGCAGGAATAGCAAGTGGCTGAGCTCACGTTTAAACTCAGGTCTGACAGTCTGGAGCCCAAGCTCTTTCCTACTTGGCTCTGCTGCCTCTGCTTTTTAGGACTGACGATCCCATAGAAAATTTAAAATGCTTTTTCTAGGTAAGATTGACGAGGAAAATAAGCCACATAGTCGCCCAGGACCGCCAGCTCATGCATGTCTTTACTTAAATTAGGTGCCCATATGTCCTTCTCTGGCCACAAAAACCAACTGCATGGTTTCTGTGCTATGTTGACTGGTCGTTAATCCAGACGACACTCCCTCCCACCTTCCTCCCATGGCTGGCTGCTGAGGCCAAGTGTATTTAGCTTGTATTTCTTTTGATGCACTTTGGTCCCCATCACTGGGTGGTCAGTGGATCCCTAACTCAGCCTTTCATTTCCTGGAAACCCAAGCGTCAGGCCTCCCCGGTTCCCGATCTGCCCACTGTACCTTCCTCCGGCCGCTCGCTCTCCAGCAGTGCCACCACCTCGGTGCCCTCTTCGCCGGAGCCCCGGACCTCATCCACGTCCACCACCGTGGCGGCTGGCGCTCGGGGCTCCCCGGGGCTCCGCGCCCGCCCAGAGCCCCGTCGCTCGGGCGGAGCATCGCTGCGCCCGCGGCTCCCGCGGCCCCTCTCTGCTTTCCTCCTCTTGTTCTCCTTGTGGAGGGACCCGCCGCTTCTCCCGTGGGCCTCGCTGGAGGAGCTCCGAGCCCTCTTCTCCATCCCCCGAGCTGCGGGCGGCGCGAACGCAAGGTAGGCACGGGGCTGCCCGGGCGCCTATAAGACTGTCGAGCGGGCGGCGAGGAGGGGGCGGGGGCGGCGAGGAGGGGGCGGGGGCGGCGACGGGGGCGGTCCTCGGGAACGTGCTCGAGCGCTGCGCTCTGCTCCAGGCAAGACGGTACAGCTGTTAGAGGCGGGGAGACGGGCCGCTGACCCCAAGACTGGACGCAACGTTCATGTGAGAGCCCGTGGGCCAAGTCATGGGGTTTAAAAGTTTGTTTCTATAAATTTAAAGAGTTGAGCTGTACCGAAGATTCAGCTATCTGAAATACCAAGGAGGCCACCGCTGAAGGTGTGATGGCTCTTTGCATTATTTGTGAATGTGGTCCTAGTGTAATGCCAGAGAGCAAAAGAGGATACCAAAGGTCATCGAATTAGGGTGACTTAAGGTAAAATTAAGGAGCCCTGGTGACGCAGTGGTTAAGCGCTTGGCTGCTTAACCAAAATGACGGTGATCTGAACCTACCACTTGCAGTTGCTAGGTGGGAGAAAGATGTGGCAGTCTGCTTCCGTAAAGATTACAGCCTGGGAAACTCCATGGGGCAGTTCTACTCTGTCCTGTACAGTCGCTGTGAGTCGGAATCCACTCCATGGCAGTGGGTTTGGGCTTTGGGGTTAATGTAAACTTAAAAATTCTTCCCAAACCCTTAGTCTTCCCAAGGGTGCCTTTTCCACTCCTCTCAGAGTCTTATTTTATATCCCGACCCTAGTCTTTCTGCAAAAGCCATAACCGGTAATGGTAATGGTGTTGGCGGACTTCCTTCTGGGAGTGTTTACATTTTGAAAGAGGAGAAGGAACACTCTTTTGGACCTCTCTCCTCTCTCTCCCCCACCCCTTTATTATTTAGATTTAGAGAGATTTCTTGCAGGAGAAAAAGCAGTGAGAAAAGGCTCTACTGTGTGTTAGGGCCTGTACTGGATGTCTGTCCTCAATCTTCTTTGCTGTGGGACCACTGACAAGTTATTTAATTGTAACTTCATTTTCTTTATCCATATGTAACAGCAGTACAAATGCCTACTCATAACAGTAGTCTATTGGGACAATGAATGACAATGACAGTATTTGAGAAAGTGCATCACATTCCACGGTAAAAAGGTCAACTCAGCAAAGGTGAAGGGACTGGGGAGGCATCTGCTGAGTTAACTGTAGGAGTCTCTAGCTGGCTGGCCTCATTCTACTCTTGTTTAACATGAAGAAATTATAATGATGGTCCTGTTTTCTTTTAGATTCCATTTTAATTGAAAGTGTTGGTCATCCCTTTGTTGAAAATATTATGTGTACACATTTTTAAACTCTTAATACTTTACTCCTTGTTTGGATTTCTTAAGAAACTGACATCTGTGGAAACTCATTACTAGAAGAAAGAGAAGACCAATTAAAGTTGTTGACTTTTGAGTTTGTTTGTGACATGAAAAGTTATGAAATATTTCAAGACTTTCTAAATTTTTATTATTCTCAGTGTTTCAAACATTTATATCCATATGGATAAATGAAGAAATGAATGTTGATTTACGTGAATGATTTAATGGAAAAACTGGAATTTGTTGGTACTGGATAAACTTGTAAACCTAGTAATTTTAGTGCTGGAAGAAACGACAGGAACTTATTTATTTTCTCAGTTTATAGAGGACAGAGGAAGGCATAGCTGTGGTCTAGGAAAGTGATGCTGATGGGAGTGTGATCCAAGGCCTTGGCAGTAGGGATGGCCTGGATTCAGGAAATATTAGAGAATTAACAATTTGGTGACCACATGGGGTTATGGAGTGGGTAGTAGGCGTGATAGAGATTTCAACCTTGGCAGGCTGAACAGTTGGTCATAAATGCAGGATTCTGTGGCAGACTCACAGAGCCCTGGTGATGCAGTGGTTAAGAGCTTGTCTGCTAACCAAAGTTCGGCATTTTGAATCCACCAGTCGTATTGGAATCGACTCAATGGCCATGGGTTTGGTTTTGATTTGTGGCAGACTCACTTTCCCTAACTGTTCCTGCCCTCTTTGCCTGGAGATGCAGGTGTTCATTTGTTAACTTCTAGGTGCAGTGGCAAGATAAGACTTATTTGACTTTTCTCACATTAATTCACTCCGGATTTAGTGAGCACCTACTATGTATTTAGTTTTGCTCACCTCTGAGGATATAAATGTAAGATTGTGCATGCCCTCAAGGAACTCATAGTCTAACAGGTAGAGACAGATATGTAAACAAGACAGATAAATGTGATACAGTGTTTTTCAGGTTATGATACCCATTACCTGTTGCCATAGAGTCTATTCCGACTCATATTAACCCTGTAGGACAGAACAGAACTGCCCCATAGGATTTCCAAGGAGTGGCTGGTGGGTTAGAACTGCTGACCTTTTGATTAGCAGCTGTAGCTCTTAACCACTGTGCCACTAGGGCTCCTATGTTATGATGGAAGAATTTATATCAAGGATTTCCCAGCCTCAGTACTACTGACATTTTGGACTGGGTAATTCTGTGTTGTGGAGTGGGAGGGCTGTCCATTGTAGGATGTTTAGCAGCATTCCTGGTTGCTACTCACTAGATGCCAGTAGCACCCAACTCCCAGTTATGAAAACCAAAAATTGTCTCCAGAGAAGTGTCCCAGGGGTTCAAAACTGCTCCTGGTTGAGAACCACTGATCTATATGCTACCGTGAAGACATAAAAGAAAGAGAGTAACTAATTCTACCTGGGTGGAGTCAGAGGAGATTCAGTTTGGGCCATATTAAGAGACAAGTGGGTACTCTTCAGGTGGACCTCAGGAACTGGGCCTTCGAAAGCAGTACAAATGACAGCAGCTCAAATATGTCAGGTCATTCAGTGGTTTGGCAAAAGAGGAGACCAGAGAGGTAAGAAATGAAAAGCCTTTACACCATAGAAGGGAGTTTGGATTTTACAGGCAAAAAGGTCCATCAAAGGATTTTTTTTTTCTTTTTTTATAGCAATTCTCTTTTTTTTTTTTTTAGATTGTACTTTAGATGAAGGTTTACAGAATAAATAGTTTCTCATTAAGCAGTTAGCACACATATTGTTTTATGACAATGGTTAACAACCCCACGACATGTCAACACTATCCCTTCTCAACCCTGGGTTCCCTATTACCAGCTTTCCTGTCCCCTCCTGCCTTCTAGTCCTTGTCACTGGACTGTTGTCCCCCATTAGTCTCGTTTTGTTTTATGGGACTGTCTAATCTTTGGCTGAAGGGTGAACCTCAGGAGTGACTTCATGACTGAGCTAAATGGGTGTCCAGGGGCCATACTCTTGGGGTTTCTCCAGTCTCTGTCAGGCCAGTAAGTCTGCTCTTTTTTTCTGAGTTAGAATTCTGTTCTACATTTTTCTCCAGCTCTGTCCAGGACCCTCTTTTGTGATCCCTGTCAAAGCAGTCAGTGGTGGTAGCTGGGAAAGGATTTTTTTTAAAGCAAGGAATAATATCAGATTTGCAAATTAGGAAAGTTACTTTGTGGACAAGGGGGAAGGTAAACTGAAATGGGAAGAGGATGGAGGCAGAGAGATCAGAGAGGAGTCTCTTGCAAGAATCCAGGTGAGAAAAAGGATATGAGTTATGTTCAGAGGAAAAGGTGATGACTTCCAGGACTCTGGTCGAAGTGACTGGGTGAATGGGGCTGACATCTGACTGAGAGAAGACAAGAGAAGAAACAAATTTTGTTTAAAGGTAGGTGGACATGGTAAGTTCAATTTCAGACATACTGAGCTAGAAGTGTATATGGGATATGTGTCTGGAAACGTACAGCAGACAATTGAATATTTAGGTTTAAAGCTTAGGACAGATGGTGTTTCTGTGGCCACGATCCTGAATCCTTCACCAGCTGCCTACTCTGGCTGCAGGCTCCTCTGCTGAATCCTGAAGAGACACAGGCAAAGACTCTCTAACAAATGTGCTCTATTGCTGGTTTGAGCTTCCCATCCAAATCCCTGACTGGTCCTCCACCCTCGTCAGTTGGGTTAGACGCTTTGTGGGCCTGGAGGACCCTCTTGGCTCTTTCTGTTAGGACATAAAAAGCTGACCAGGTGTCCTGATCCTAGGCCCCTTTTCCCTAGGCCCACATGTTGGTTTTGACATTACGGTCAAGAGCAGAGCTGCGCTAACGCAACTACTTCATACTTCCTTTACCCTAAGCCCCATCCTAGTGCCCATTAGGTCTTTCAGGGACAGAGCTGTTCTTTGACTTTTAGGCACACCACTCTCCCAAAATCAGGAGTGAATTATGGAGAAGATCGGAGTGAATCATAGACATCACTGAAAGAGAATACAGCACATGGAAGAAAGATCACAACTTTGGCTACAATATACTTCAATTTATTATCTCTCTGCTCTCATCACTAAAGATGCAGCTCCTATTTCTGGTGACTTGTGTGGCCCTGAGGGCTCTATTTTGTCCCTTATCTGTTTCCTTATGCTGTGGAGGAGACCAGGATGGACAAGAGAAAGAGAGAGAAGGGAAGCAGATCCTAGAGCAGTGCTTCCATTCTTTTCCTGTCATGGCATTCATAGAAAAGGATACTATTTGAATCGTATACTGGAGTGAATTTAAGGGGATTTGAGGGTATTTATATAGGGCTTGGTGAGAAAATTTTATTTTTTATGTATGATAGAAATAAAATGCAAAGAATTAAGGACTCAGTATTAGTATATTAAATTTGTATAAGAGCACTAAATATTTTCAAAAGTTAAAATAGAACCTTGAGCTTGCTTCCACAAATATAATTTTTATATTAAATTTTATGTTTGAAATGGCTACATGCAATTCTTAGCCAAGATTTTCGGTAATGACAAGCTCTCATGGTAGTTAACCATCGACAGCAGACATTTATGGAATTTTATAAGTTTATAAAACCATTTTTACAATCATTTAAAAATTTACAACAGGTAAACTTAGAGAATCTAATATATTTTATTGTCCGCCAAATGTAATTTTGATATTTCTTGCGATGATGAAGT